ACAGAGTGGAGCCCAGGTGATGATTGGCACAAGCAGCTTTTTCCTCATGTCTTTCCTTCTCATCTTTCACATCAATAGGGGTACGGCTGTCAGCCTCCTTGGGTTTTTGGTTCCTGGAATTGCCGGGTCTTCAATTCAGCAAAAGAACTGTTCCTAACGCACCTACTCAGCTCCTGTCACGTACTTGCTCTTCAAGACATTGGATCTACTTGTTGTCTACCTTCTATTCCCAACTTCCAAGTCTTTGCCTTCTCTCGTGATTCGAATCGATCTTCTAGGGGGTGTAGCCATTTACATTCGTAAGCTATCTCACTTTTCAATCTCCCTTTGGCCTAATCGCTCCAATTCCTAGCACCTCTGTGTACGGTGCTGTTTCCATAGTTTCAGCTTTTCTCTTGTAGTTGTTTATATTCCTCCCATAGGCTCGCAATATGAGCAAAAAGATTGTTGGGACCAGCTGCGAAATGACCTAGTTTATTTCCATTTATTTGGACCTACTGTGCTTTTGGGCGATTTCAATGCTCGTATTGGGACTCACTCTGCATTATCTCATCTAAGAGACTCAAATTTGACTATTTCCATACCACGACCCGACACCCAGCAACCAAAATTGGTAGTTAAAAGTTTTAACTTAAAACGTTCTCATTCGTGGGCTTCGGCCTACTTCACTCCGCTGCCAATATCGGGACTCCCAGGGGACGCCCACCATCTCGCCGAGCCGAGGCCCCTACCCCCGCCCGCTGCCCGTCCTCGGCACCGCCGCCATGGCTGCGGGGACCTCCTTACCCGCACTCCCCCCGCGCCTCCTCCTCCTCCTCCTCCTGGCCACCCCGTCCAGATCCCTCGCCGATGCCTCCCCCTCCGTGCTCCTGGATGCCGACGCCGGTGCGGCCTGCGAGGACGTCGGCCGCGCCGCGGACCAGTGCGCCCACGTGCAGGCCCACTGCACGATGGACTCCCGCGTGGACTACCTGTCCGCCTACTACTGCGGCTTCGCGCCGCGGGGCGCGTTCCTGGTGGCGGTGTTCTGGGTGCTGCTGGTGGCGGTGTCCACGGTGCTCTTCCTCCTGCTGGGGGACACGGCGGACAAGTACTTCTCTCCCACCCTGACCCAGATCTGCCAGCAGGTGCCCAAGATGCGCCCGCGCTTCGCGGGCGTCACGCTGCTGGCCTTCGCCAACGGCGCGCCCGACCTGTCCGCCACCGTCAACGCGATCAAGTCGTGCAACTTCTATATGTCGCTAGGTGCCCTCACGGGCGCCGGGATGTTCGTCAACTGCTTCGTGGCGGGGTGGATAATACTCGTGGCCGGCGGTGCGCGGTGCCGCGGGGCAACCATAAGGGACGTGACCACGTACTTCGTGACGGTGGCGGCGGTGCTGCTGGCGCTCCTGGTGGGGAGGGTGGGGTACGTGGCCACGGCGACGGCGTTCGTGCTGTACGGCGCGTTCGTGGCAGTGGTGTTCGCATCGGACGAGTGGCACGAGAAGGGCCGGCCCAGGTTCTGGGAGGCCCCGCTGAGAAGTATCGGCGCGGCCCTGAACCGGAGCAAGGCGGAGGATGCCGGCCAGCCGCTGATGATGGAGGAGGCGCCCGTGTGGGCGGCGGTGGGGCAGATCGAGGACGGGACGGAGCTGGGGAGGGTGGACGGGCGGCCGCAGGTGCCCGCCCAGGCGTCGCCAAGGATGCCGGCGGTGTGGGCGGCGCTGTCTCCCAGCATGTACAGGCAGCAAGCGCTTGCGGAGTTGGCGGAATTCGACCCCTATTTCCTGCCCGTGGGCGAGGACGACGGGACTGAGGAGGGGTCCCCGGAGGAGCGGCCGCACCCCCTGGGGAGGATATCCCCGAGCCAGGACCCGTGGGGGGGGGACGTGGATGGGGTGGGCGGGGAGGGGGGGCAGTTCAGCACCTTCGAGGTGGAGCAGGGGTCGGAGGTAGCCGGGGAGCTGGGGGCGTTTCGGGACTGCCCCTGGGTGGTGCCGGCGTGGGAGGAAATGATCGTGGACGACTGGCGGGAGCTGAGCACCGTGGAGAAGCTGCTGCTGGCGATCAGGCTGCCCCTGGTGCTGGCGCAGAGGGCCACCATCCCCATGACCAGCCAGGAGAACTACAGCCGCACCTGGCTGGTTGTGTCCGTCCTCTTCGCACCGTTCTTCGCCCTGCTGTATTTTGAGACGCAAGCGACGTGGCCCCTGCTGCTCAGCGTGCTGGCCGGGCCCCTGCTGTCTGCTTTGGTCATGCGCAGCACCCAGGGGCTGAACACGCCGCCCAAATGGAGCCTGGGCACCTCGTGGCCGATCGGGACAGCGGTCATCGCGCTGTACGGGCTGGCGATTGGCGTGTTTTGGATCGACCTGCTGGCAGGGGAGCTTGTGGGCCTGCTGCGCTGTGCAGGGATCATCACGGGCATCCCGGAAGCCATCCTAGGCCTCACGGTGCTCGCTTGGGGCAATTCCGTGGGCGACTTCTTCACGAACACGTCCATTGCCAAGGCAGGCAAGGGCAACATGGCTATCACGGCTTGCTACGCTGGCCCTGTGTTCAATATGCTGGTTGGCCTTGGCCTGGGGTTCCTGTCCTTCTTTGCCAAGAACCACACACATGTGGCGCACGTCGTGCCACAGAGGGACGTGGTCCTGGGTTGCGTCTTCCTCCTGGTGCATGCGATGGTGGTTGTGGGTGTGGGGCTGATGAAGGGCCTCCGGCTGCCAAGGTGGTTTGGGTATTTCTCAATAGGGTGGTATGGTCTGTACCTGGCGCTGGCTGTGGCCATGGGGGTTACACTAGGCCCAGCTGCAGCCAGCGCAGGAGACCAGTGCTGAATTTTTCGTTGCCGTAGGTTTTGGGCTAGAGAGCTGTGATGGACAGGGACTCCCAAGGCCCTTTCTGTTGACTTGGCATATCTCTTTTAGTCTGTCCCGGGTTGCAGGGTTGTAACCATTAATTGTTGTAGAACTGGCACGCACTTGAGGGTTGCCCCAGCGCTCCTGTGTGATTGCTCCTAAACAGCCGTTGGGAACCGCACGGCCAGCACGAACAACTGCCTGCACCCATTCTAACACAGGTCGCTCACTATTCTAGCAATGGGGCTGCCGTCGACAAGGAGATGTACGGGCGCCCGAGGAAATCGTCTGCACGGTCAGCGTTACAATGTCTCCGGCAGGCTGGAAGCTGTGGTGCACCAATTCCATGGCCGCCAGGTGGGAATATAACTACATGCTCAGTTGGCAGGACTGGCCAAAGCGTTGATTTTGTGATGAACTTGGGCATGCAGCAATTAGACAGCTGGGTTAACGCCATACCCGCCTCCGTTGCTTACACACAGGCGAAGCAACGATGATGCTACACATGAGCACGTCCCTGCACTTGTGCTGGCCACTGTGATGCCATAGCTCACCATCAGCAGCTGCGCGCAAGGCAGATACCCATCTCCTCACACAATGTCAGAAACCCTGTTGCAATGGCTACACATCACACTTATTTCACACCACACCCCCAAGGACCTCATAAGCGACATTGGGAGTAGAATCATTCCAGTAGTAGCAACAACCACTAAGCCGAAGAACAAAACTTGGAACTTGAAAAAAGAGCAAACGGCGGCCGTCTTGTGCTCGCCCCTGTGGAGATCGGTTGCATTCGGAGTTCCACATCCATTCGCATTTGCGCACAAACTGTTCGCTGGCCGACTGATTCGGCGTTGAATTTGAGTCAGAACGTTACCGACCGGGCTATTCTAGCTCCACGGGAAGCCACAGCTACGCTACTCTACCTTCCCAAGCCTCCGGCTGCGCGCCGCACCCTACATCTCTCCCAGGTTCTTTTATCTGGCTGCACCCAATTTTGCTATGAGCTCCTGTCTGCGTGCATTCATTATTGCACCGATGGACGAAAAGGGAGCGCCGTCCACGCTGCTGGCACATCTCGGGTCCCAACCTTTTGTCCAGCTCGTCTCAAACACGGACGGCGGACGCCAACCCTGGGCCTTCTGCAGCCCACTCCAGCGCCCCACCCAACTCGCACAATCTCGCAGACAGCCGTGGACACGTGACAGCAACGCGAGCCACGGCCAAACTGTCCTTCAACCTGAGACCTGGCCACATCGCTGTGCGTGGCCGCCAATCGCACCTCACCAACAAGACTGGTTCGCTGCACAGGGCATGGCGAATTCCACACCACTCCACCCGCCCAACCTCCGAGATCATCAAGCTGCGAAGAAAACCCTTTCTCAGGGTCCTTCTGCACGCTCTAAAAGGCTTCTCCACTCCTGCGATTCGCAGGCTGCGAATGAGAACGCCACAACTGAGGAGGATTCCTCCCCCACCACAAACTGATAACTGATCATGAAATGGGATTCGGTTCTGCTGCACGACGGCCAGACGCTTCACTCAGCTGCACAAATACTTCAAAACCCCACTCACAGTGGGGCACAGCGCAGAGCACCAGAGGGGCAGAGCGCTGCCCGCCCATGCGCCCTGGCCGCTGCAATCAAATTTGAAACAGTGAGCGCCACCAGTGCGTGCACAACTTCCAAAGAAAATTCGATACGTTGCGTTTTTTTCCTGTTACTACATTTTGTCGGTGCGCCCCCACCCAAGGCCGAGCTTGCTTCTACTGGTGGCCCCACATAGCATCACCACAACGCCTCACACCCTCAAGCAGGCTCACATAACTCCCCCCTGTACGTAATCTGACAGCAGCCCCCCTCATTTTGACATCCATGGTGCTATCCTTCTGGGCAGGCCCCAACCCCTGCCTGGCGCCCCTAGACAATTTGACAAGCATGGGCTGACAGATGCCCATGTCATAGCTAGATCCACAGACACCCTCTTCCCACACAACAGCAGGAGTTGACTATCAGGTTTGATTATCAGCATTGTGCCCCTAGTTTCCCTCATGTGGAGGCACACTTCTTTCCCTGCAAAGGTCCCAGCTTGGAACCACAGACTCAGTGTACCCAGCCAGGTGCCTCCACAGCCAAGGCATCGTTGAACACTCGTATCTCAAGCCTGCGGGCAGTTGCATACAAAAATCTTAGAGCAGACACGTGCCTCAATAGCCCAGGGGGCCCAAGCAAATACTTTCGGCAAGTCACACGGCAACCCTCATGTTTGTGCGATGCAGACAGTGTGCTGGAGAGTCAAAACCACCCCAATGCAGGTTCAGGTTGTGCCAAGCGCATGGTTGGACCCAGCAGCAACACCAGCATTGAACCCGATCGACAATTAACACCATTATCACCAACATGATGCAGCACTGTACCAACACTGGCACAGTCTGGCTGTTTTATGCTGCTCCAAGCTCAGCACCCACCAACTGTCCCTCATGACAGCACTTCCAGACTGGGCTTCAATCAGTACCAGTTTTCTGGCTGGCCTTTCCCAGGAGAGGGTACCTGCAGCCCGCTGGGAGACGACTGGTGCAGTCCGCTGGGCATACTGTTGGGCACTCCGGCAATTCCACTTTCGTGCTGCAGGGGAAGCCCTGCGGCAGGCATTACTGCTCCCCCAACGGGCATATCCTGGAGGGACAGCTTGAGGCCCTCAAAGCACAGGCGCACAGCCTCTTGAAACTCGGGCAGGGCCTGGCAAGGAATGATGATCGAGTTGCGGTCTGGGCCTATGGCCTGAGCGTGTGCACACAGCAAGCCCAGTCAGATACCTCTGACACATTGTTGCAATTGAATCAATCAAGATTCCCTGAATGACATGAACATGCGTCATAGTGCCAGCAGTACAAACAACAGTGACAGCAAAACAGAAAGCCTTGTGTGCAGCTGGACACAGTGTCTGTTATTGTGGTAACCAAAGAAAAGGACAGCACACCAAGGCTGTGTGGTTCGAGCAGCCCCTAATTCAAGCAAAAGATGCCAAGTAATTCAGAGTATGACCTGAAGCAGAGAGAATCCCTTCCTGTGAATAACTCTTGTATCTGCTCCCCTGATTCGATTGAATCATCGCACATTCAAAACCTCGTCACGATTAACCTGGAGGTTTCTGTTGCATGTTAAAGATATGCGTACCATCTCCCATGGCACAGAAGACGCCCTTTTCTTACTCACAAAAATCTTGCTCGGGAAAGGTGTGGTAATGGTACGACCCAGTGCTTTCTGTTGACAAAACAGACTCCACTGTTGCGCCAGTGTGGAGATCTTCACACTGGTTGGTCCCTGGGGGTAGGAGGGTCAGAAGAGCTTTCACTTATCACCGCTCTTTGCCTTGTTGTCATTCCAGGAGCTGCATCATATTTGGCGTTTAGAAGGCAACCATGTTCCAACTTTCAGTCATAATGCTTTTGGATCGTATCGGTGTGTTAGGCGCAGGTGCTGGATGCATGGTCAATCCACAAGTGGTCACCAGTTCCCAAGTTGGCACAGACTGTACACAACAGGCGCGAACCCCTCAACACACACGCTGGGGACCCTGTGCAGCATTTCATGATTCCGTCTACATCCGAATGCAGCCCAAGGAGCACGCAGCTACGAGAAGGCGTAGCTGTGTCAGAAAACGGTAGAGCACACCTTAAGGCCTCAACACCAAGCAACACCAGGGCGTGCCTGGGCAGCCCTCTCCAGGGGAGGATTGGTGCAAGGGCTGTCGTCTTTCGCGGCGAGAGGGGCCGGGGCGTGTCATCGGTATTGATTCAAAGGGGTTGAGGGACGAGTGCGCCCTGGTTGACCACCACTGCGCGGCCAAACTTACCTCTGTAATGCGCACAAACTGTCCGCGGTGGTTCGCACCCGGGTCGAGGAAGAACCTCTTCTGCCCAACTCGCAGAATCTGGGAACCATTCTCGGCAGACACCAGCGCGGGGGGGGAGGGTCCCGGGCCCACGACCTTCTGGCTTCCAGCGACGGACACCTGCTGGAAGGCAACGCCGCCACAAGCGCGACCGATCAGCGCACATGCACGGGCGCACGTCGGTCAAACGGCTGCCCAAGGCGCGGGAAACGGTACCGCCTCTCTGATGGATCCTCCAAGGTGTTCAGCAAGCATGGTCACGCGTAGATGAGACATCGCTGCACGAATCGTGACAGGTGCGGGGCCCCCGCTCCCGCAGAGCCGGCGCTGATCGCACTGATGCAAGCCAAAGTCCGCGACCACGCGAGGAACGGCATGTCATGCGCGTCTCTGCGGTCGGCGCCAACCGGAGGGAGAGAGATCTGGGATCGCGCTCCGCCCGCGCACTCACGTCCTGGAAGGTGGGGTGGTCGATGGGCGGGGCCACCTGCCCGGACAGCTGGCCCTCGGCGGCAAGGATCCTGGAAAGGGTGTCGCGGAATGATGACCAGCCGGTGAGGCCGGCCCCGCCTGAGGGTATGATCAGCGAGCTCCGTCCCCTGGGGCTGCGGGCATCCAACCGGGAGACGTCAGTGGCCATCAACGAACGGACGCGCAGATCGGCGAGGGGGGGACGATCGGGGGCGGGCACCGGTGCGCTGCGGGGAGGCAGCGGCGCTCACCCGGCTCCGCTCTCAGACACCCGCAGGAACTTGCCGCGAGGATTCTCCCCCACGTCGAAGAAGAACACCTTGTTCTCGATGGGCAGCTCCTTATTGACGAGGGTCCTGCGACGCACGGAGGACGGGTCAAGGGATGTCCTAGCGCGCGGCGTCGGGTGGCCGCGAGGAGAGGCAGGAGGGGGCGCAGACGCCCCGCGGAGCCCTCACCCGTTCTCGTTGGTGCCGCCAGCGTAATAGTGGAACAGCTCTACGAACCAGGGTATGCCGCTGGAGGGGACTATGATCGTCGAGCGCTCCCTGTTGTTCCCCTTCTCGGAGACCTTTAAATAGCATCCCCTCGTGTTCTCCTTCAAGTCAAGATAGAACAACTTGCTCTCGACCTGCATGGTGGGGCGGGCGCCGCGAGCCTGTGAGAAGTAATCAACATACGCCCCGAACGCGCGCGGAGCAGCATGCCTGCAGTACGGCAATCCCCCACCCCCCTCTCCCAGGCCAGCGCGCTCGCGGCAACATTTCGCGCAGATCTGCGGCCAAAGTGCCCCATCCGATGCACCATCCGCCCTTGATCGCCCCCCACCCTGAGCGTCTCCGAGCACAGCTCCTTGTCCCCGTGGGAGATGCCATCCAGTGCGGAGTCCATGTTCCCACCACCGACGAGCAAGATCCAGCGCCAGGCGGCCCTCCAGACTCCCCGGCAGGCCGCGCAGGACGATCAACCCGATCGAGCCCTCAGCGGCGCACCACAGAAACCGCCCCACGCCCAATCACGGTCGAATCCCGCGCAGCGCGGCGCGACCGGAAGGCACCCCTCGGCCTGGCCCCGCGACCGCCACGGGAACGGCTCCCAGCGCGGCGCGCCTCCGTCAGAGCCACACACTCTGAGCCGGGGGGCGGTGCGGTTGCACGGGCTCCGCCCACAGTCCCTCGACGGATAAATGCTGGCGCGGTGGTGGGCAGGTGGGCGTGCGATTGACCCATCGAGACCGACGGGCCCCGCCTGACTAAACGCGAATTCCCCCCTCAGGGGGCAGCTTACCGGCCCAGTCATTCCACGTGCCCACGGGCGCCCGCCAGCCGGGCATCAGTCTCGCGCTACCGGTGCCCCTGAGGCGCACGCCGCTGGGGGTCGATGCGCGTGAGCCGCAGCGGCAAGTACACGGCGACGCTGACGCACCCGGTCAAGTCCGCCACGGGGGGGGGTCGCCACCCTTATGTCGAGGCCCGATGCAGCAAATCTGGAGCTGGGAGAAGAGAGCGGCGAGGCGGCGGCCCAATGTACACCACAAACCGTGGGATGACGGCCTTATCCCTGACAATCATGCAGCTTGACAGGCGTTGTTGGGTAGCCAATGGGCCCAGGCACGAACTTCGTCCCGTGCAAGTGACCCCCACCGCAGGGACGACCGGCAACTGCCTGGCCTGTGGCTGAAGCCTCGTTGCCGTCGGGTGCCACAGGAAAATGGCCCAAAAAGGGGGCATACCGACCTTGACCAATGGCCCCTGCCGCTGCATGCAAAGTTTCGAGGAATATTTCGTGCGGCTCTGGCCCACAGGATGCGCACAGCAGCCATAAGTACTGCCAACACTCCAAAACCATCCACGAAACCTCGCGCTCCACTTGGCGCACGCAGGCCCCGAGGCCCAGCGGCGCAGGCAATGCCCGCGCTGCCCCGCACCCTCGGAGGCCTCTCCTCCCGGCCCCCCGCCCTCCAGCGCCTCGCCCCGGCCCGCGCGGCCTCCTCCCAGCCGCGGTCACCGCCCTCCCCCGCACCCCCCCGGGACTACTTCGCCAACGACTCCCGGCCGATAATCCTCTACGACGGCGTCTGCAACTTCTGCAACGGCGGCGTGAACATGATCCTGGACAACGATCCGTCCGGCGTGTTCAGGTTCGCCGCGCTGCAGTCGAGCGCCGGGCGGGCACTGCTGTCCCGGTGCGGGCGATCCCCGGACGACCTCACGTCGATGGTGCTGGTGGAGAGGGACGGGTGCCACGTTCGGTCGGCCGCCGCCCTGGCGATCGCGAGCAAGCTCGGCGGCGCGATCGGCGCGCTCAGCCTGCCGCTGTGGCTGCTGCCGCGGGCCGTGCGGGACGCGGGATACGACTTCATCGCGGACAACAGGTGCGACTGGTGGATGCCACCTGGGCTGCGTCAGTGGCGCTCGTCCAAACGCGACAACACGCGGCCGTCGCGCCTTGCAGGCTGAATCCTGGTGATGCAGTTGGCTGCCATTGCGAAGCGGGGCCCAGCGCGTTGGGAGGGCGATTACAGTCGCAAGTTCGTACACATCCATTCGGATGGCAAACGGCAGCACAGCCCAAAATAGGCGCCGTTCGCTTTCGCATCCAAAAAGCGTGTTTCATACGCAGTTGTTGGTAACGTCATACTCTGACCACTCCAGGTACAAGATTCTTGGGATTCGGGATGCGTGCCGGATTGGTGACCAGCGACATGGGGACAGGTTCATCGAGTGATCAGGGAGGTGGTTAAGGCAGCTTGGGGCACTTGGAGAAGGAGCAGTGCTGGACTAGAAAGATGACGGATTTGTTTGTGGGTCAAGTTTTGTTCTTCCCGACGGATGCACGGTTTTCGATTGGGGATTGATTATTGGGTCTGTGTATGCTGGCCAACATCAGCAAAGATCTCTTGCAACAGCATATTCTAGTGTGCGGAGGAAGCTTGGTATTAATGAATGATCGAAAGGGCACAGCCTCATGGGCTGATCGATGCACTGACCGAGTGTGTGGGACTCAGAACTGGTGGGGCGCTGCAGCCGCACATGAGATGCGGCCCAACACCTCCCCAGCTCTGCTGCTCATCGCCTTGGGAGGGGCAAAGGGTAGTACTCTGCTTTGACAAAAGCAACCCATGACAACTGCAATACACTTCCCAGAAAATTGGTCAGACCCTCGTGCTGCAAGCCACAGATCCCAGCAGCAGCAGCAGCAGCAGGATCGTGGTGCGCAGTTGGGCTGACTGCTTTTGGGGCCACAGCCTCCTCCACAACATCTTCAGGTGTCCCAGGAATTGGTGACGAATGAATAGCACCTGTGCCATGCAGATGTAGGATGCCCACAGCGCCACATCCTTTTGCACAGGGGCGTTGAGCAAATGCCTCAAGCTGAGCATTGCTTGCTTCTTGCTTCTCCCACACATTCTGAGACTTCTGCAATATGTCATACTCTGTTGGAGTGCAAGCACATGCACGGGAAGTGGGGCCCAGCATGTGATGTTAGCTTCCTTTCTGCTAGGATCACTGATATAGCCACAGCACAGTCGACATAGCCTGGGCACATCGAAAGGCACTGCAAGCCAAGTTGCTATTGTGCATGCTCGCTCCCATGTTACCAATATGGTAAACACAGCTGCACAACCAAAAGGTAATCAGATTCACCACAGTTGCTCATGCAGCCTGCATGGTTGAAACATGGTCACAATATGCACAAATTATATGCTTTGGTGCATGGTGCCAGCTGTTCTTTGACTTTTGCTTAGGAAAACATGCAGCTTTCTGTATACTGCAGAAAAGGCGCATTTCAAGCCCACAGGGATCAAATGACAAAATCTGTGGCACCAAACACAGGAGAAGGATAATAGCAGAACATTCCAATTCCATGGCTTGTGCTATATTTGGGCTGGATAGAAAGGCTGTGGATTTGCACACAGGCATCAGACGTTGGTTGCAGAAAAGAGCATTGCCATTCAAAAGTCTGCCAGGCAAGTTCAGCTGGGTCACAGTGCTTCATCAATAGCAATCAGCCTACAGACAGGCTTCGAGAACCATGGTTTTAACTATTCACAGCCCCACAACTCCACAATCCTGCACTGGCTTCATGCCATCGCCATCATGTAAATACAAGTGGGAGTAATATGGGCATTGTGGACAAGTGGCTGAAAGTTGCAAGCAAAACCAGTGTTGCGTTGGGTTGGGTTTGCGACTTAGGCATGCAAGCACATACACAGACAGATGCTGACAGACTCTCAGCAAAGAGCCTGCAACAGCGCCTGGATGCCAACAACAGGAAGGCCAAAGACACAGCAGCAGGCAGCAAGCTCTCAATCAGGTGGAGCATGCTTTAGCACAAATGTTATTGCAACAAAAAGACAGATCCAAATCAATTCTTCCCATCCTGCATCCCTAAGTCACCAGTCCAGACAACATTTTCAACCCTGGGGTTCTTTCTCACTCCCATTGAACAACGGTGAGACAAATGTACCAACCAAGGGGCAGCAACGCCAAGGAAACATTTTGCAATCATAGAATGAAAGTTCTTGCACCTTTGTACTGAGTGCATAGAATGCACCCAGAAGCGCTTGTGCAACACCAAACAGCACCTGAACACACAATCTGGAAGAATGTCTGACAAGCATCATCAAGGTGGGCCACTGTGAACTGTGAACAACCTGGCCTGTGTTGGGGTTCAAATACTGTTCGCAATACTGCAGTTTTCACACGTCCTGATCCAACATCTGCACAACAATACCAGTCGGCAGGACTGCAAACATGGGAACATCTTCACGTGGAACAGCAGGCAAGATATGCAGGTACCTGCATCAGCTGGGTGCTGATGCATAGGGATTGATTTACCATCGACCACTGTACCTTTTGTGAACCGTGGGAACAATGAGCAATCGAGGGCAGCAGCTAGAATCATGGCAGCAACCACAGTCACAGGATCAACACCCATTTGCTGAAGCAGCACAGTTCTTGCCCATTCCTTCTCTGGGATACTATGTGTTTTCGCATACAACTCCGACTCCTGAATCAACAAAGAGGCGATGGAACAAGTTGTGGGCCTATTCACAACTAAAGCAGAAGCAGTAACGACAACAGATCTAGATACACTTACACATTTGTCGATGCATGTCCAAAAGTCGAAGTACTGCCCCGTGCAGTGTGCCTCGCCTGTCTCATCTCCTTTGATTCGTTCCGCACATGCCTGCAAGCCACAACAACTGAGGTCCAGCATCATGACAGTCCATTCTGGTCTTATGCAAAAGCTCCAACTACCTTTGGCGCCTGCACATTTACTGGGAATACCTCTGGCATGTTGTCCAACCTATTGTGGAGACACTTACAGTGCACCAATACGTCAAACTCTTGCATGCATTGGTTGAGGCAACAGGGTGCCCAGTGCATGACTGTGATTTCTGCTCTGGAGAACATGCCAAGTTGTGGGCGAGTGTGCCTTGGCATCGCTTCCAGAACAGAGTCAAAGGGAAGGAAATCAGTTATCTGCTGCTCCCAAGCATCGGGATCGGCTCATCGATCATCTAACAACATTTCATTCCAATGACTGTACACAATATGTTCGCCTTGGCGCACTTAGCACCGTCTTCCAAGCAGTCAGAACCATGTCCATTATACGCACATTCCAATGAAAGCATAGCAATATCCCTGACTAGCTAAAGGAGGACTGCTGTCTATGATTTCCAATTGTTTCCAGTTGCCAGACAGCAGCATCTGTTGGATGGATCGTTGTGCATAGTGTGGTTAAACATGGGCACTGCTGCCCAACATGATTCTGCAATATTAAGCACAGATTAGGCTGAAGAACAAGACTTCTGCAACGTTAACACAACCTGCTCTGTTTACATCCAGGGCTCTGCAGCACATAACTCCTTGCATTCAGTTAGTTCATCATATTGCCCCAAGGCCTGCCATGTTCCATCTCTGTGTACAGTCTCTTGGGCATCGGGTAGCAGCATGCAAGAGACAACAAAACAAAACATACGCTGCATTGGATTTGACAATGTATTTGGCATCCATTTCTTGGCACTGTTGGAAGGTGCTGATGGCGTTATGAGGGAGGAAGACCTTTGACACTACATGAGTACCCAGGGCACAGTTTGTGGTGTGGAATTGTCATGTGCAGGTGGTAGCCACTGGCTACACAAGAGGAACTGCAAAGGGGTGGATAAGCGGAGCTGATGGGCAGGAGCGCTCATTTCTAAGCGTGAGGAAAGCACCAGTTGAAGGAGCGCAACAAATCCGCAACCTAGCTTGCCCAAGAAGCCAATGTGCAAGAATCCAATTTTCTTCAACTCCATTGACAAGTTGGTCAATGCAACAACGACAGCCCACAAAGGCGAGCTTCACATGCTGTCGCCAATAGCCGTTCGCACCTCGTATGCTTTCAGCTGCTTCACGCAGTGTATCTTGCACTTGGTCTCAAACTGCCCACAGTCAAGCCAACAGATCAGCCCCCACCCAAACGATCAGCGGAACACCCGGAAGCCCCTCGACTCCCAAAAGCTCAGCAAGACTGCTTGCCACTCCACCCGCCAAAATTTTCGCCCCACAGCCGCTCGGCGCTCTGACCGCGCGCCGTGGTCTTTCAAGCGCGGCCCCAGGATGTCCAGCATGTGCGCAGATCTTCGACAACGGCCCCGCACAGCCCCACAGGCAATACGGCCGCCTGGATCCCTTCCTTCCGCCAGTGCGCCAACACTCACCTCTGGCTTCCTGCACACGATTTCCTCTTCATCGGACCTGCCACATAGGGGGGAGACGGCTGCGTTCAGGCGCACAAACGCAGAGAGTGAAGTTGGCGCGGAAGAGGGATCGGCTTGTAGCGCACATGGCGGGCTTCACAAATCTCTCTCGGTGAGGGGAGGGCTCCAAGGCGCGCGGGGGGACCCGGCGTGGGCGGCGGCCACGCGGCGCGTTGTCGATCGGGGAGACACAACCAGGACCGGCAACCCTCACAGGCTGTCCAGAGTGGGCAGCCGTGCGATTTAAAAAGTAGCAACGCCCAGTCTGTCGCCATTTCGTGGCTGTACGATTTTCAATCAAAGGAGCAACGCCCCCCCGGGGAATGAGGCAGCCCCTCGCCTGCCGAAAGCCCTGGATGGGAAGGCAGTGCCAAAGCTCGCGTGGAGATAAATCGTGGCCATGCTCCTGAGAAGTAGCTGAGATGCAAAGAAGCTTGCAGGTGGTACTGTTACGGCTAGAACTGATTGAGTGTTCTTAATAACTGAGTGCATGACAAGATGATGAAGCACTAGGAATTGCATTAAAGATGTTGATGAACGGACTGAATAAAAAGGACATAACGTCTGTTGTCCTTTTGCCTCGGTTGCAAACCGTTGTCGTGGACTCGAGCGTACAATTCCCGTTCAGGGATCGCCACCCCTCGATCCTGCCTGCCTTCGTCAGTACTGTGGGAGCAAACGCGCCATCTGAGTTTCAAGGATGTGTTGTTCATTCTGCTCGTACGTGGCAAACTTTCAGGGGCTGTATGGACCGGGTTCGGCAGACCACGAGCCGAAATACAGGTCCAAAAGAAAATGGCAGGAGGGACTGTGCTCAGCACGGAAAAGATTGAACTGCAAGTCCACCTTTTGGATGCAATTCTGCCTGTTTCAATCAGCACGAATGGTGCTATTTGCCCCTCTCAATGGATATTCCAATGTTGGACTCGTGCACGATGCACGCCAGTTTGCAATATGTAGCTTGCTTTTCTCGCTTATGGGCGAACATCTGCGGCTCTCCCTCTCAGTCCCTGACTGATCTATGGCGTGTTGCCACCAGCCACTTCGCCACATGTCCGTCATGTGTCGCTCATTGGGTGTAGCAACATGACCGGCGGCGAACTCGGCAGCTGCCTGGTAGCAAGTGCCCGCAAGGGAAACTTGGATTGGGCCAATGTTTCCTCGCAAAAGTGGCCGTGACTGGGAAGGAATCTGTGGGTGCCTGGTGGCAACTTCCCTCCGCACAGTGCTCCAGACGAGGTCGCCGATTCTTGTTCGTAGTCGCTGATACTCGGGCACCCAACAGGCGTCACAGACAGTCCCAAACACCATGCAATGTCATGGGCAAGCAAAACTCCACACCACGGGCTATCACGGAACTAGTTCGTCCCCGTCTGCAGGATTCAGTGCAATACAGACGTCGTGGACGCAGGAACAGGGTCAAGAAAATATGTAAATGCGCCGCACTGGACGGACAGGGCTTGTTGTTGAAAACAGCCACACCGAATTGCGCAGAAACGGGATCAAGAAAGACTTTACCGACTTGCACAGAAACAGAATGCGCTTTCAATTTCTGATGCACAGACAAGGGCTGCAACTGTCATGATCCATATGTGTGGAATTTCAACACGACATTTCGAGTTACGTACTTGAAAGGGCACACGCTGCCCTTTGTGGCCAAAAGAGGCATCTGGCAATATTTGTGCCACCTGGACAGCGGTGCAGAATTCTGAGCGCCCAACGGCGTTTTCCTCGGGTACACAGAGTGCCCTTGCCGCACAAACCTGTCAACCTGCCAGTGAGGCTTGCCAAGCCACAAGATCACGCAGCCGTGCCGAGCCGTTACGACGGCACAGGAATGCTGCTGGGCATGTCCGCGTCCAAAATATTTTCTCATCTCGAGCGCCAGACCCCAGGTCAAACAGCGAATTGGGAAGGCCCCTTGCAAGCCCCTCACGCTTGCCATGCGGTCACAGCTTCACTCGGTATATTCCTAAGTCACAGTGTGGCTGTAAATTGCAAAATTTGGGAAAGTGCAGCATAAGGCAGTCTTCGAAGGCAAGTACAGACTTCCAATTGTCTGCCCATATGCTTGCCCAACACGCACACAGATGTCCTTCAACGCTCAATTCTTCCACCTGATTTAACCCAATGCTCGATGGCATTGGTGCTGGCGCTTGTGCTGAGAGTAAGAACCATTGAGTCGAGGAATTGAACAACAGATGCCCCCCAAAGTGTTAATGCACCTGACAGACTGCAGTCTTTTCGGTGCAGATGTGAGCGCCTGCTATCAGCCCATCGAGAGGCACACACGCGCACATGTTAACAGCAAACGGACAACTATGAATACTCTTGATTTGAGAATCCCGACGCATTCTGCCAGCGACAAAGGCAGCCAAGCACCGAATTTTCTCATCAAGAATCTTCCAAGATTACAAATGGTTCCGCAGAACCCGCTGTGGAGGTTGCCGGTACCGTTCCCGGTATCGTCGCCGTGGGTCTCCTGCTGACCGCGAATTGATGAAAATGGCAAACTGCATGCGGGTGGCTCTTTTCCTGGATGTGAGCGGTGGCCCTACTCCACTACCATAGCTCCTGCCCTGCTGACCCTGAATTGACGGAAACGGCAAACTGTCTCCGGGTGGTTGTGGCCGTCGGTGAGAGCCGTCTAAACACACCATAACCATTGCCCCAGCCCAAACCTCCCTTCTCGGGGCCAACCTCCAACACCTGGCCCCCAGGTTTGCTCTGCGCTGACCCCCTGCCCCGTGCGCCGCAACCCCCGCGGCGCCCCCTCCCTTCCCTCCAGCCCCCGCAAGCCTCACTCCCGCCCCGCCTCGCCGATCTCCATTCCCTCCATGCCGCGCGTCAGCGCGGTCGAGAAGTCGAAACCCTCCCCGGCGTCCTCCGGGCTGTACAGGTCCATCTTGCGCATCCCCCGCACCACTGTCACCACCTCCATCCCGCCCGCCTCCCCCCATCCCCCGCCCTCGTCCTCCTCCACCTCCGGGCACGCCAGCTCGTCCTCGGTCACGGCGTGGATCGCCACCCGGTCCCCCCTGTCCCCGAATGGCGCCATTTTGGCGGGATCGCTAACCCTGGCGGCATAAGCGAATGTCTCCCCGGTCGTTGAGAAGGACCCCCCCCATAGTGTGCCCCCGCAGTTGCGGCTGCGCCGCACGCAGCATAGCGCATCGCCACTGGCGCACCAGAACTTGTAGCGCCCCTCCCCAGCTGTGGCGAACAGCCTGCCGGTGGGATGCGCGCCCAGCCACGACAGGGGCCGCCCGCGGTGGGGTTTGAAGAGCGTGGCGTCCATCTTTCCGTGGCCGTCGAGCGAGATCGTGGCCGCGTTCCCGGTGGAGGAGCCGCAGAGCACGGAGGCGCCCCCAGGCGCCGCGGCCAGGCAGGTGGTCTCCCCCCAGGATGGGCCCCACTGGCGCGTCCTGCCAGGATTTCCGCCGGCGCGCAGGTCGAAGAGGGTGACGTAGCGACACCGCATGGCGATCGCCGCGGTGGGGAAGGACAGCGCCGCGGCGGTGGGCCTCTCGCGGAGCTCGCCGCAGGAGGAGGCCGCCCCGTCCTCGCGGGGGTCCACCAGCCGCAGGGACCGGTCGGCGCCCACCGCTAGGATCGCACCCAGCTCTGCCACGTAGAACACCTCCCTCACCTGCTCCCAGGCGACGCCCAGATCAATCGCCCGGAACAGTGCGACGCCGACCTCGAACCCCGATCAGATCCGCAGCTGCTCAGTCCAACAGTTCCGCAGACCCGGTCAGATCCGCAAACATCCATCGGCAGGGATCCCGAAAATCGAGCATCGGGGCCCGTGGGCTCTCACCTGCGCCTGCGCGTCGGCCACCCGCGCCACTGCGCCCGTCGCCAGGTCCCACCGCAGCACCGCGCCGCGCGCGTCGCCCGCGAATAGCGCCCTCCCGTCGGGCCTCCATGCCGAGCAGCGCAGCGGGCGCAGGTGCGCGCTGCTGGCGCGCGGCAGCGCTTGCAGCGGCTGGCCGGCGCCCCCGCATCCCCGCAGCTCCCACAGCTTGAGCAGCCCCCCCGCGGTGGTCACCGTCAGGTGACCGGCGTGCGCCGGGCTGAAGTGCAGACTGGTGACATTCCGCACCGCGGGGCGCACCTCCACGTCCTGGCCGCAGTCGCCAGGGCCGCCGATCGAGAAGGACTGGGTGGAGAGGCGGCGGCCGCGCATGGCGGCCGTGGGCCGTCGCCCTCGGGGAGCGGCGGGGCCAAGGCTGGCGGCCGCCGGGGTGGCCGGCGGGCGGGCGGCGGCATTGGGCGGGGGGGCCCCGGCCTGCATAGCTGGAACCACATCGCCGACGCCTGACTAGATGGGCTGGCCAAAGACGTCGAGGCCGTTCCCGATACGGACCACGCATACGGAGACGGTGACGTCTCCTCCCCTGAGCCCTGACGCCCAACCGCCCAGTCATCGTCTCCCTAAGCGTCGCCTGCATCGGGAACAATGTGAAAACGGCGAGGGGGCGTACGCAGTACATAAGCGTTGCTGTCTTTTTGGATGAAAATGCGACGTTCTCTTTGCCCGCTAGATTCAGAGGAATCAGGGGTGGCAAGTGCTCCCGGCCCGAGGACGTGTCGGGCGGAAGACGTGGTTTGCGTGGAAGCTGTGGATGCAAAGAGGTCGCAGGATAGGTTTCATGCATCTTGCGGTCTAGCGGCTGCAAGAAAGTGCAGCTTTACAGAAGCAAATATCAGAAGATATGCTTCTGCGAGCTTGTGTCCATCACCTGATCTTTTCCGTACCCTCCAAAATATATCCCTTTTGGTAGCTTGGGCACTTGGGCGCCGTGGAGACCGTTACTCTGCACAGCAATGACGGCCAAGTGTGCCAATATGCCATCTAATAATACCGGGGCGCCTTGAGAAAGTTTGAATGACGCACTTGAGGGCTGTGAACGACGTGGAGACAACGGCGAAGGGCATGCTTACAGCAGCTGCTAAGAATGCCTTTCTGTTGCTTGGCCGCATAATGAACACCGTTTCACTGGGTGGATCATTTATGCTTTATGACTAGCGATTGGTTTGCTGCTTGAGATGAGCCCAGGAAAACACTGCTGTAGAAAAACATTGCTGTGAAATATGCAAACGTTATTCACGCCAGGATGTCACTATTCCTGGTACGGCATTGAGCTGGTGGTTTCCCAGCCTGTGCGTAATACTTTGCTCGAGGATTTGTAGTTTGTGATAAAAAAAAGATATGTTCATGAAAATATCTGAAAAGCCGTTTCTTTGATTGAATTCTGAAATCGTTTGACCTAATTCGGTTCTTGAGACAGTTTTCGATCACACTCGTGTTTGTTGGGGACAATGTGAGCTTTGTGAAAGAACGCCATGCAGCTCGGAGATAAATGCCTTGATCATGGTGTCTTGTCTGCAAGGTGCAAATGTGCTTTGTGGGAAGTTTCAGATGTGTCTTTCCTGAAACTTTGCAGCAACTGTGACCGCCCTATTTTTTCATTTTGGCTTGCAAGAAATTGCTGTGCTTGCATTTTGCAGTGGGGGCGTTTGAAGGCGACCATATGTTGTTGGCATGTTTCACACGTTGGATGTACCTTAGTGATGAGGCCGTACGCGGCTGAATTGTTGTACGGAATTTGTGTTTAATGAAGGTCCTTGGGGGTCGAATAGGTGGACGGGTGGCAGGGAAAGCATAAAGAAATCTGGTCGTGTTTGGTGCCACCGTTGGCAAGAAAAAATTGTGCTCGAACCTTGATTTGGGCGAACAGATATGTAAGCCCCAGGCGTTTTGTGTGTGGCTGTGCCCTTGCGTTTGGCCGTGTGCCAACGCCGTTAAACATCGGCGATCGTGGATTCACGCTTCCCGTGTGCACTCACAAGGGAGCCGTTTGAATTGCATCAACGGCATTTCCTTGAAGATTCCCTGTTGGCCTCCCGAACATCGCTAATCCCTAAACCCTACACCCTAAAGAGAATAAGAGAATCGCAACATTGCGCAGTATACCCGTCGTCTTGTGGTCGCTCGTTCCGTGGTGGCGCATTCCGCACAAGAAGGGAACTTGAGGCCAATATGGGCCACCGCCGAATACCTGGCAGTCCTCGACTGACGTGGCAGCACTCTCAGACTCTCGGAGCCGTCGTCGGTTACCAATCACCCAGGCGAGTACGGCCCGACCAGCCAAAAGCCAACCGCTGTCAGCATTGCCCTCGCGTTACGGCTGGGGACCCAAAGCGCTCTGCAGGCTTGCCCCCTCGTCGCCGACGCTACCGTCTTGTGGCGTGGTCGACGGCGAGCAGCTGTGCCGCTGGCCGTCCCGGCGGCGCTGTCCGCGCGCAGTCGCGGGGCACGCAGAGGAGTCGCTTGCCCAAAAGCTGCACCGGCGCCTCCTTGCACTTTCATTGGGCTTGGGCACGGTCCGGCACTGGTCGCCCGCGACAGCTGGAGGCCGGTTGATGGCGCCGATTCCGGCCGCTTGTCAAGGCGGCCGCCCACCCGGGGCTCTCCCGGTGAACTGTGCAAGGTGGGGCTGGCGATGGCGGGCCGCGCGGCTCTGTGCTGGTGGTCGCGTGATGGGTGTTCGCTTGATGGAGGGGTTGATGCAGTTTGTGGTGTTGTGGCGGGCGCTCCTGGCGGCGCGCGGCGGCCTGGCGTGGATCTCAGGCTGACGGTTTGGCTTCTGTGTTGCAGGGGGAGGTGTTGCGCGGTGGGCGCGAATTTGCATGCCTCGGCGCGGCGCGTGGGTTGGAGCGGGGGCGGGGCGACGGGGGCTTGGTCCCGCTCGGGTCGTTGGGCTGCAGGTAGGTCGAGCGGATGCCCGCCGACGCTGAGCGGAAGGCGATGCGGCCGTTGTTTCTTTTTTCGTGCAGTGCATGGCCGTCGATGGTTTGGATGTCCAACTCTGGGACGGGCATCTGTGCGGATGCGCGAGTGTCTTGCTTGGAGCGACGGGAACGGCGACGATTTGCAATCGCAGTCGATGGGAGACTATCATGTGTTGCATTCCGACTTGGCGTGAAGGCATCAGTTCTCCGAGCGACCAAATGGTCAGCGTGCGCGGCGTCTTGGATTGACCGTTTTGGGTGCGGCGAATGGGCGCGTGCGTGCCGACAGTTAATGCTTCCTGCGCAGGATTCCTGCACGTGCCTTGCCATGGCCCCAAATTGCCGCAACCAGCCTTCATCTGCACTGTGGCAGTCGACCACGATTCCCCAGTCCCAGCCTTCAACCCAAGCCAGGAGCCCTTCATGGAGACGCTGCGGCGGCAGGCCATGCAGTTCGTGTCCCTGTGGGGCACCTTCCTTCCCATGTGCACCCTTTTCTTTTTCATGGCGTTCATCAACACCATCATGGATAGCCTCAAGGACACGCTAGTCATAACGGCAGTTGGGGGCGGGGCGCAGGTCATACCATATCTCACCGTGTATGCAGTGTTCCCGGTGTCCCTGCTGTTCGTGTTGGCCTACACATTCGCCTCACGGCACTTCAACCGTTCGAAGCTGTTCAACCTCATCATCGTCGTCTTTGCGGCGTTTAACCTGGCATTCGCTCTCTTCTTGTACCCCAACCATCAGAGCCTCCACTTGCTTGGCCTGGGAGAGAAGATGGCGCAGGTACTGTCCAATGGCAACATTGATTTAAAATTGCGAATTTATCTTTTCACCAGACGATTTGAGTCCGTTTAGAATGGGGCAATCATCGCTCTGGGCATAAAATGGTATCAGCTTCCTTTCGCTGGGCTCCTATTGGGTTGACCACTGCATATGCCCGGACGATTACTCTGCATTCCCTGTCATTCATTAATCCCTGATGTAGTGAACGGCTTGGCTTCCCACCGTTGCAGTCGTATGGTTGGCACGGCCAACTTCGATGATTCTTCTTGATTCAGATGCTTTGATTAACGTTCACACTCCCTGCAATTGTCTCATTCTTGAATCCCTGCCATAAGGAAGCCTGCATGGCTTTGCTGTCTGCCTGCAGTTGGGTGCCTTTTGTTGTCACTAACCATGCCCTAAGGAGGGTTTGGACATGCTGGTCCCATGATGATTCTTGCTTCTCAAATGATTGGCTGCCAGCTTTGGCGATGTGACGAAAATGAACACAGCAGCAGTCAAGCAGGTATCCATCCCTGCATTGCAATGGACTATATGCTCATTCTGGCAGGTAGCGCTGGCTCATGTGAGCGGGTGCCTGACACAAGAGTTTTTTTTGCCAGACGCATGTGTTCATAGCACAACAGCATGTGGAAAGCCATTGGTCATAACGTAGACTGCCAGAATTGTTATTGTTATTGTTAATTGTTATTTCGTTGGACTGTATTCGTCAGACCTTGTCAAAGCTACCGTCACCCCTCCAAGACAATGTGCGCCAGTGACCATCATCGGTTTGCTGGTCATCTAAGCTGCACGGTGATTGGTGCATTTCTACTGTTCTCAGACATTGCTGATCTTTGCAGGTGTTGCCCGCTGGCTTGGATGGCTTCATTGGTATGATCCAGAACTGGACATTCACACTCTTCTACTGCATGTCTGAGCTGTGGGGCGATGTGGGCCTCAGCCTGCTGTTTTGGGGATTTGCCAATGAGATTACAAAGATGGAGAATGCAAAGCTGCTGTATCCCCTCTTTGGAATTGGGGCAAATTTGGCACAGACCCTGGGTGGTCTTGTGCTCAAGTTCTTTTCAGGACAGGGGGGTGGAGATGTGTCGTTTGCAAGCTCTCTCGCAAAGCTCATGTGGATGATGATGCTGTGCAAGGGTGTTGTCATCGCACTGCACTTTTGGATAGAACAGAGTTCAAAGAGCCAAAGGCAGGAAGAGAGGGAGGGGCGGTCAGGTCTTGTTAGTGATGGAACACTCAGTGGCCCTTCACTGCCCATGCAGAAAAGGCCTAGCACGACCATTATGGAGAACAACAGGTACTGGGAGGCTCCAGTGGATGGAGGCCATTGGCACCAAAATGACTGTGCCCCAAGCACAAATGGTGCAGTGGCTGCTCACAGAGCAGCTCGTGGAGGCGGCACTATCTACAGGGTTGGAAACACGATTCAGCAGCAGGCTTCCACGAGCTCTGATATACACACAGTCAACAAGTCTCCATCGATACCAACCCGAAAGAGACAGAGGAGCATGAGGGAGGTGCTGCGCATACTGGGGAACAATCCCCACATCCGCGCCCTGGCTATAATGGCAGTGGCCCAAAGCTTTGCTGTGAACGTGATGGAATTTGTTTGGAAATCCCATGTCAAGCTCATGTACCCTACCCCTGCCACCTTCACTGGCTTCATGGGAGATGTTGCCACTGCGACAGGCCTGGTCACGGCCTCGCTGATGGTCCTGTCTCCAATCATGTTTGAGAAGTTGGGGTGGGCAGGGGTCGCAGGCGTCACCCCGAATGTGCTGGCCTATGGAGGCACCGCATTTTTCCTATTGTGTTTCGGGTACCATGCATTTGCCAGCGTGGGTGGGTGGAGCACTGCGCTGCTGCCAGCGGTGGCATTGGGTGGGGCCACCCTGTTTGTGCTGGCCCGTGGGGCCAAGTTCTCTCTTTTCAAGCCAGCGGAGGAGATGGTGTACATCTGCCTGGATGAGGATGGCAGGACCAGCGGGAAGGCGGCCGTGGACGTTGTTGGGGCTCAGTTTGGCAAGTCTGTGGGGAGTGTGTCTCAACAGGTGAGCAAGAACACTACTCACTCGCTTGTTCTTTTGTCTCATTTCGCTTTGTCTGCTGTCTCATTTCCTAGGTGAAGTCGTGTTGCAACAATGAGCAGTGCATCTCCGTTTTTTCTCTTGTTTTGGCATGTCCTTGTTTTTGTATTATTTAGCGAGCTTGGAAGCTTGGAGGTGGGTTGAGCTGTGTCGCAGACCCATTGAAGTTGCCATTCGCCAAGCATTAATAGCGCATTGATTGTACCCAAGTAGAGATTCAGATGTTGTTCTTGGAGCATTCTCCTGGAAGTTCTTGCAGAGATACGTGGCCTTTATCCATCTGTTTCTTCATCAGAAAAGAGAAACTCTTGGCAGCAAGGTGATCCAGACTGTGAAAAATGGTGTAGAATCGCTGAAGAAGGCAGCTGGGAACTGCAGTCGTTTCATTTTCCCTTCTCTGACCAAGATTGGCCCAGAGCCAAGTTTCAAAACGCACATGTGGGCATGGTTTGGAGCCCTCAGTGACATCAATAGGGAGCTACTGTCCCAGCACCTTTGAGCATGTCCCCATGGTTCCCATTTTGCGCTGTCTGGATCAGCATGGAACTTGAGTGGAGCAATCCGATGCAAAACGCTCTGCAACGTGTATTGGCAGAGGCAAATGGACTGAATTCTGCATTGGTGCAAATGTGCTTTGCTGCAGCAAATCAAAAACGTCGTTGACTATTCCTAATTGAAGTGCACATTTCAGAACTCTTCTAACTTAACAAGGCAAATGAGGTGTAGTGACTAAATGTTTCAGAAGCGAATAGGGTCCCACTCACTTCTAGAAAATTCAGTCCTGGGACTGAACGCTAGGAGACGAAGCGCTTGTACATGTGAACGCTGCTGTGGGGCTGTGTGCGTTCCCTCAAGAAATATGGCATGTCAAGGCTTGCGGTGGCCGTCGACTAGCTATCTCACAAGAGGAGGTGCAGTTTTGCAGTAATGGTACCCAGAAAGCACGAGTGTTTAACTAGTTTGTAATTTCAGTTGTATTGAATGCATTTCAGGTCCTGTTGCTGATGAGCAGCGGTGCGCTGTTTGGCATCATCCCTGTGATCTTCGTTCTCTATATGCTGATGCTGCACGAGTGGGAGAAAGCTGTGGAGGACCTTTCTGACTTCCAGAAGGAACGGTCGTCGCAGCCAGAAGACAGGAACCAAGGACCCTACAACGGCGTAGAGGTCACCCCACAGCTGCAGTGCGAGAAGAGAGACACCGATCCCAACGCTCCGCGCACACTGGCAACAACCTGTTCCTGAGCTCAAACATTTTGTGTGGTGGAATGCCTGCAGTGCGCGAACCTGGTTGGTGTGTTCCATTAGCAGGGAAGGTTGGTGGAATATTGGCTGTTACTACCAGGCCAGGGCACCTGCAGTGCTGCGTTATTTTCTGACGAAGCGAAGAGGAGTGTGTGCAAACATCGCCTGCCTCTCCGACCGGGCGGAGTTGGGCGGGAGAGTGCCATTGTGGCGGCGTCTGCCCGTGGGGTTCCTGCCGCCACTGTGAACCAACACCAGTTTTCTTTTCTTTGGGTTTGTGCGATCAGTTTTCATCCTTTCAGCGCTCCTGCTGGGGGGGTTCTTCGTGACTCGGGCGCAGGCCGTTGAGCGAGTGAAGGTTGACCCTGCGGGCCTGCATGTCGCTGTCAGGGGGGCCGTGTGAACAAATCATGGTCAAATAAATATCGGTCCCTCAGTGTCACAACCTTGGCCCGGGGGCCCGGGGCCCCGGGGCGGGTATTTGGGGCTTTTGTAGTCGCGAATCGGGATGCCGTGGACCACTTTTCACATGAACTGCGCTGGACTTCTCATCAAGCATTCATTAATGGGAATTAATGGAAGCTTGATGAAAAGGTCAGCTCAGTTCACGTGAAAAGGTAGTCCACAGCATCCCGATCAAATATTTGATGGCTTCCATGTGTGCCTCAGCCGTGGCAGCATGCCCAGTTAAGGTTCATGCTGTTGTGCGGGCAAACGTCTTGCAGATCCCTCCACAATAACTGGATGGTTTCCGGGTCTTGTGCGTTACCTGTCCAGTACAAACTAACTAACTATGGCTTTACAAGACATTCAACACTTCAAACAAAGAAACCACATCTCGCCTCTCTGATACTATTTGTGAGGGGAGGAACACGTCCAGCGATCCCCAGTGCTCGTGAGGGGGATCCCACTTCCGCACAGGTCGATGCAGTTGGTGGATCGCCTCCTTCTGTAATGGAGGCCCCAAGGGATGATTCTCTGGAGCACACCTCTCGCTGCATTAATGCCCCTATTCGCCCAACGCACTTCTGATCCGCCGCCCTGTGAACACTGGTCGATCCAAAAATGTTTCTTTAATTCGTGGGGTGGTCCGGCCAGAAAATTTTAGCTGTTTCCGTGTCGAACTTTCGAAGCTTTTCAACATAATGCTTCCGCAGTCGTTTCAACACTTGTCCTACAAAGGTAGACGGAGTCCAGAAGTATAAGGCGAATATAGCTCTCGGGCCGCCGCCCACCCTCCACGCCGCATCCCACACCCCTCACAAAGTCTGCGGAGCCACCACCTCGAAGGGGCCAGCTTGAGCATTCTCGAACAAGCACAGCCCCCACACGCCTCCCGCTGGTAGGGGGAGGGTGCTCACCCTGCTTGGCGACCATTCCCCGGAAAGTGAACCCAAGAGAAACCTGAAAGGGCAAGGTGGCTGCCAGTGCCACCGCAGCGAGTTTGACAATCCAGTTCGGAGCATTGGGCCTCCAAAGCAGTGACTGGTGGTCCCTGAGCCACCTATTCGGCGGGATTACATGGCCTTCTCCTGGCCCTGCGCAACGAAGTGTTTCATCAGCCTAAGTCTCCAACGAAACTTGGTTTGGGCTCCGCACCAACATTTAATATATGTGCATTTTTGGTGGCCAACTCAACCAGGCGGAACTGAAACTGGGCATTACAAAACTCGAGTATCCATAGCTCCTGAACTGGCCATGGTAAGATGGATTTTCAGCAAGGTTTAAAACGGAAAATGTTCAATTATAACTTCCTGATATATGTGCACAAAGACATGGAGCTATGTGCACCGGCGGTAGCTCGTGATGGACGGAGTTTGAGAGCTCTCATCCTAGGATAGTACCCAGGAAGATGAGTAATTATAAGTATCGAGTGGTTTCTCTGTACGCGTTCCTCGCTCGCGCTCACACACGGTCGCTCCCAGGCACGGGAAGCAAACCACAACCAGATGGATTACATAATGGTTCTGTCCGTCATGTAGCATTCACTGCAAGCATGTTCAGTTCATGTCTTTCCCCCATCATTCTGCATGTCGCCATAATAAACACCGTATCCGATCCACCATACTCACTTAACTACTTATACACCTTTTCTTGTCCTCACAATAAGTAACCACATGAGTAATCGCAAGGCGCCGGGGGGGCTGCCCACGTTTTCGACAAACAAATCCAGCATTGAGCAGCCTAAGGAAGGCCCGCGTCAGCAAGTCTATTCTGTGGCTGTTGTATTCTACACTCTAATGTGTGAAAGAGAGCAACAGGGAACAAAAGGTGCAGGGTTAATTGGAGTCAACGATCGTCTTTCCACGCTTACCAAACAAACTGTACCGCCTGTGTGTGCCGCTGGATGCTGTTTGGGGGAAGCACGCATTGACTGCTTTCTTGAAGCTGTCACTGACTACATCTTTGGCATTTTGGACCCACGTGACTACCCTTCCATTTACCCTGCCAACGCTGCATTTTGAACCACATCAAGACAATTGTCTCCCAAGGGTGTTTATATTAGCGTCCGTTACTACACCCCCAACACTGCACACGGGACGCACAATCCCAGTACCGAGTACCCCGCCGTCTGGCTGCGGTGACCCCAAATTGGAAAGGTGCAAACTGTGGGTAGGCCTCGCGGGTGGGACGCACCCGCCTCTCGGCCTGTACCCCCGCCAGCTTGCGCCCGCCCCAATCGCAAAAGCAGCGAACCTGCGGAATGGGCAGGCACCCAGCACATTGAGCCAGTACATGTCCCCACGGCCAAGGGCGTACAGGGCGACCCTTGGGAGGGGAGGGCCCTGCGGCCTGGCTGCAGCCCCGAATGACTGGACCGCCAAATTAAGTGCCGGAGGGCCGATCACGCCTGGTGGCCTGACAGACCCCGTGAGGGCTGGGCGAGGCGGCTGGGCGGCCCCGCAATGGGCGTCCCGGCCCCCCTACCCCGGGCGGCCGCCGCGTGCCTCTGGCTCCTGCTGCTGGCCTCCTCGGGATCGGCTCAGAGCACCACCTCCGCCGACGGCCCCAAACCCCAGATCACGTCAATGTTGCCGGCGAACATGTCTGTGGGCGTCTCCCCGGCAGTGAACTCGTCCGTGGTGAAGTTCGATCGCGACATGTCGACCCTGGGCGCGTCGCTGGTGTTCGCCGGCCGGACGCTACCCAACACGACGGCGGAGGCCTCCTGGAGCGACCCACGCACGCTTGTGCTGCCGCTCCACCTGCAGGAGAACCGGACCTACGCCATCGGGCTCAACGGCGCCTGCCGAGAGTGCAAGGGAGTCAGGGCGGCGGAAGGCGCCCCGCTGCAGCCCGCCGTGTGGACGTTCTCCACCTGGGCGGCCGGGGAGCCGGCCGTGAGCCCCGGGAACCAGCGGGATTCGGCGATCGAGGTGCTCCGGCTGGTGCTCGCGGAGTACGCGTACCGAGACAGGCTGGGCGTGGACTGGGAGGCCCGGTGGCGAGCGCACAGATTCCAGATGGAGGGCGCGGGCACGGGCGTGGCTTTCGCGGAGGCTGCCGCAGGTTTTCTCGGTGCCGGCAGGGACGGTCACGTGTTCCTAGACGTTTCCGGTGATGTGGTGGCCAGCCATGTGCCCGTGGTCGACCGGAATGTGAACGCGTCGCTGCTGCGGGGGATCGTGGCGGACTGGCGGGAGCCCAACCGGCACGTGGCGACGGGCCGGCTGGGGACGTCGGTGAGATACGTCGCAGTGCGCAGCTGGGCGGGGGGGGAGGAGGACTACTACCCCGTGTCTGAGGCGCTGATGTCGTCGTGGCGCTGGCGGGGCGTCATCTTCGACGTGCGCGAGAGCGCGGGTGGCAACGTGTCGCGGGCCCTGGAGGTCGCCGGGCACTTCGTGGACCGGCGCGTGCCCTACGCGTCGCACAGGCGAGTGGATGCCAGCGCGGAAGGAGGGTTTGGGCCCACGGAGCAGCTGTGGATGGAGCCGAGAGAGGAACATGCAAAGTACGACGCCGGCGTGGTGGTGTTGATGGGGCCAGCCAACGTTGGGGCTGCGGAGTCATTCATCCTCATGATGGGCGCCGGAGGGGCCACGCTGGTGGGCCAGACGTCGTACGGCAGCCTTGGCAACCCGGTGCCCCACGCGCTGCCCAACGGCGTGGTGCTGCACCTGCCGTCGCGGCAGGAGCTGCTGCCCAACGGGGAGGTGCTGGAGGGCAGGGGCGTCGATCCCGACGTGGCGGTGGAGTGGGATCCCAGCGGGGCGGACGACCCGGTGCTCAGAGCGGCGGTGGAGCGTCTGACATGACTTCCCGGGCGTTTCCTAAGGCCGGGCCGCCTCCTGTAACGGTTTTCGGCGGGCCCGCGGTGGAGCACTGTATTAGAGAACTGAACGACATGCGAGTCGAGAATTTTGTACCGTAGTGGGGCCGCGCCCCTTCCGTTGTTAGCGTAGATACGAGCCGCACTTGCGTATTGGGCGTTCGAGACTGCATTGCCGGGTTTCGACAATCCAGGATTGCTGTGGACGCATGCGTTGTGCGGTACGGGCAAGCCGGGTGGTCGTCAAGAAGGTGTCAAGGGGAACGACGGGCGATATTGTTCCCGCTCGGTGGGCGGGTGTTTGGATAGGGCAAAGGTAGGGACTGTATTCTTTGCCCTGGTGCATCACTGCATGGACGTTACCCAACTGGTGACGCGGTCATGTATCAGGGCTTAACAATGGGCGTCGTGCTCGGGGCCGGTCTGCTCGAGGTGACACTTGCTTGCCTCGCGAATAATCTCGACTCAAGACTTCCTCGGAGCAAAAGCCGACGGTTGAACTCGACACTTGATTTGTAAGACTGCAGAATTGCCGAACTGTGGGCACTCGCCTAGTTGCAGACAGGTGAGAGATGCCAGACTCCACTGGATTCGATGATTTAAGCAATCAGGATGTTTGAAGTGTTGTAATGGGGTGCCACTGCCTTACTGGCGGATGTGCCGCAGCTGAGACACTTTGGCTGAGAGTAGGGTTGATCGCATCGGCGTGCAATCGCTAGAAGAACCAACAGATAGATATTTGTGCCGAATGTACGCCGTTGCAATATACATCCATGCGTTTACTTGGCTTTTCTATACTTGCGCCTATTGTGACCAGTCCCGGTTTTAAAAGGTTGCTCGATTGTGGAGCTGGAACAATCAAGCCACAATAGATGCTAATGCACCCGTGTTCGATTTCGAACGCGTATTCCTTGTGCCCGGCAAGAGAGTCGCCTCTGGTGCCCAGGGACGCTGGAAGCGAAGAGGAGGCGCACTTTGTGTTACAAAGTCACAATGCACTGTCAATGCGTTTCAATGTGGGAAATTAATGTCTTCTTTCCCTTCATTCGCTGATGCTGGCATGTCTGCTGCAGAGCATATGGTGTGGTAAATTTGCCATTTCGATTTCCTACATTCGCTGTTAGCCATGTCATTTCTTCATGCGAGTCACACAAGACAGACATTTAGCGACTGATTGGGGGACAAAGTGAGTGACACAATTTGCAAGTGGTGTTGGAGATCACGACGGGGCACCCACGAGACACGCATACAATGGCAGTGGTGTTGTTTGTGGCGAGCTATGCAGTCTGGGCACTGTGGCACCTCCACTCAGCATCTCTCTTCTCTGTCATTGTGCTGGCTACGCATATGCAGTTGCCAGATCTGCATGTCACCATAAGTCGGATAGCGGTGGCTGACAATGGCCCAACGATCGCGCCTGTCCTTGTTGACGAAAAGCATCTAAGGAGTGCGAATGCTTAAATATATCGCAAGGACTATTAATCAGTTCGATGCTCTACCATTGGCAGACACATTCAGCATGGAACCTGATCGATGTAGTCCATTGATGCCATCATCGCCACAACACTTTTGTCTAATTTCCCTCCCATGACAAACTCTAATGGCTCATGTGCCCGCACCATTTGGGCCAGAAACGACAGGACAACCACGCAACCAGATGGTGACCGTTGCATGGAAGTTCCAAATGCGACTTGGCGGCCCCACAGCAATCCAGGTGCTTCCCACCCCATCGGGACTGATCCACCCGCGTCTCAGCACAATTCAGTTCTTACAACGTCTCAAACGAGCCCAGACGAATTGAGCCCCAACCAAAACGGAGGCCGCACAATGCAAACCCCTTCACCCTTTCCAAGATCGCCACACCAAACCTATCGACACCCACGCAACGCTCCACTCCTGACCTCCTTTCAGCATTCGCCACCTTGAATTCAATTTCGAAACCTCTGCCCAGGCACAAGTCCACCTTCTGTGGAACATGGAACATCCCAACTGCATCACCTACGAGAGGAAGGACCCCAACATTGAAGACTGCTGCACCCAAGAGCCAACAATCGTTGGAACTGTACCCTTCCCCGTCGCCGGAGTGAGCACGTTCTCAATGTGCGCGGGGGTTTAGCGCTTTCAGGCGAGTCCCGGCAACCAAACTACATGCTGGCGGAAGGGTTCCACGTGTACTTGGCACCCTTTTCAAAGCCAGCCCTCGCCAACAGGGCATCGGCGGAAGCGGGTCCTCGAGAGCCTGCGCGAACACCAAGCAACTTCAGAGGCCATGGGTAGCAGGCAAAGTGTTGCAGAAGAGAATTGAGCAGGAGGAAAAGTGCGCGTGGCTGTGTATCACGAGGCCTTGCGCAACGCAGAACGTCGCTGCTTGAATCCCGGGCCGCCACGCAATGTGCGACAATTTGTAAATTGGTCAGTTTGTCAAATTGCCAACCTCTCAATTAGACAATTAGTCAAATTGCCAATTTGTCAATTAGACAACTTGTCAAATTGCTAACTTGTCAATTAGACAACTTGTCAAATTGCCAACTTGTCAATTAGGCAACTTGTCAAATTGCCAACTTGCCAATTTGTCAATTTGCCAAATTGTCAATTTGACAATTGACAATCTCCGTTGCGTTTGAAACGCAACGCCGAGCCCTCGGGACCACCCACCGATGTCGTAGGGCTCCGGCGTCAGGGCCCCCTCGTCGATTTGATGCAGCAGCGGCGTGAAGATCGCCCACGCCGCGCGCAGCTCGTCCCTGCGCACGAAATGCTGCTGATCGCCCCGGATGGCGTCCAGGATGAGGCGTTCGTACGCCTCAGGTATGTGCACCCCGGAGTAGCGCTTCGTGTAGGACAAATCCAGCTCGCTCATCTCGGTGTCCATCTCCAGACCTGCGCGCGGTGCGAAGTTAGAGCATCGGCACAGGCGTTGCTTTTGGGGGAAGGGGTCTTTCATCAGGTTAACCTCAACCCAACGCTGAGTTGAGGCTGGTGGGGGTTGCAGTGCCATGTTCGATTGCGCTTGGTTTTGCTCCGGCAGAGCCGCCCACGTGCGATGGACGCCTGCGTCGGCGATGCTTCCGCAGCAGCTGCGTCGCTGACAGCGACCCTGCGTCAATGCACCATTGCATAGGACAGCATACAGATGGCAATAAAGCAGGCGACAGGCTCCCAGCATTCTTTACTTGCTCATCGTGTTGCTCTTCTTTGTTGTTATATACCATTGTCATAGCAGCAAGCAACAAGTCCAAGAGCCCAGCGTTTCCAGGGCCATGAGGCGATGGTGTTCCATTGTTGCACAGAGTATGCACACATTCGTTTTTGTGGACGACACTCACCAGGCTTTTTCACCACCGTCTTCATGTAAATCGCCTCCCCAGGCTGCAGCCGCATTACAAACTCGTTCCTCATTCCCTCCGACAAGTACAGAGAGGCGGGGGTGGGCTTGAGCTGGATCCGGACCTGTGCACAGAGAAAAACCACCGTCAAGATGTCAAAAAAGCGATTATCAGACACTTACTAAAGTATATAAATTTGCTTAAAATTTAAAATAGATTTAAATAAATTTCCTTTTGGTGCAATTTCGGTTCGTACTTAAGCCCTGTATGCATTGCTCAAACACTGTGTTTGGTAAAACCTTTCCGGTCCAACTGAGCGCAGAGCTGAATACATGGCATAATACTCAATTCTCAGACAAAGTACTTAGGACAGCGTTTGTAGCGTTTGTATTTTGGCCTTCTGACCACTTTCACTGGAAAGGGCGTTGGACTGTAACGCGTATAAAATGTGTGGCCGTACAGGAAGCGTCAGTATTCTGCCAGTGCCCTGACCACATAGCCACTGGCAACTTGCATATTTTTATTTATACCAACATCTGCTTGCTTGTTTGTTGGCATATGTGCCTACCTGGTTGTTCTTTATTTGTGCATCGTTTTTGATATTATTCGTTTGTTAGTTACTCATTTTGGCTTTTCTATTGATTCAATTGTTCACTCGCTCTCCACCTGCATTTCGCAATTCGTGCTGAGGTGCACACCTACGCAAGATATGGGGGGCCAGGCGTGACGTCCCTTGTGCAACTACTAGCTATTTCCCAAGTACCACCACCGTGAAGCACTGCTCAGGAATCAGCTTTTGCACCCACTTCCACCGGCAACGCGTTCGAACCGCGCGACCCTGGCAAACCTCCCTGAAGTGACGCCGTTGCGTCAGTCGGTCCGAATCCAACAACGGGAACGCAACATCTAGGGATGCGACAACGCCCACGAATGCAGGAAACGCGCAGTCCAAGCTCTCAATCATGTGCGCATGCCCGCCATAGCCTACAACGCGCATGGACACACCTTTGTCCTGTCGAAGGCCATTTCTTAAAGGACTGCAGCCAACCCAACACAACAAGAGAGCAAACAAAAACGCCTGACGGAAGCTGCGATTCACTAAAGTGATGCACCAAGTGGAGATTTTGCAAAATCAGACATTCTCCTGAAGTCTGCAAACCAAATTCCGTCAAATACATTCAACTCCAGAAAAATTCCGATGATTCCGTCACCTCCGCCTTCCTCTCGTTCAGCGCCTTCCCCGCCTTGAGCACGAACGGCACGCCGTACCACCTGTCGTTCCTGACGTACAGGGTGCACGCCGCGAAGGTGGGCGTCTTGGACCCCGGCGGCACCGTGGGGTCGTCCAGGTAGCCAGGCTCGTCACCCGTGGCCACGTACTGCCCCAGCACGGTGTCCTCCACGGTGGCGGGCGCGATGCAGCGCAGCACGCGCGTCTTTTCGTCGCGTATGTCGTCCGGGTGGAGGGACACGGGCTTCTCCATCGCCACTAGGGCCAGCAGCTGGCGGCGCACGCAAGCAAACACTCGACGTCGGTCAACATTGCCAGCGAAAGCAAGGTTGATGAGCAACAGTGCTAACGCATGATTAAAAATAATGGCAGAGCATCAGCTTCGATTGAAATTCGAAATGTGTGGGCCGTTCTCTGTGCCGCTGGTAGTGCCAACCGTGGTGCCAACTTGGGACCACGGGCGAACCGCAAGTGCACGACTGAAATGCGGATTGTAGCTGCGACGGCCAGCTTCTGCTGGTGCGGTGTGGAAAACTTCGGGAGCAAACGTGTTTCGTTATTTCGAGGGTGAAATCCCTAGGGAAGAGTAGTTGTTGTCGGGTGTCGCCCTTCAGCTCTGCATCACCCTGTGGTGGTGAAATTCTGGTCATTCCGCCGTTACATCCGCGTCTGAACTGTGGTAGTTCGTGGATCATCGTGCTCATCAAACTGACGACCATTCGGGACCAAATAGAGCCATCACATACAATTTTTGTGGTACCTTTCACCAGTGTAATGGGTACGCCATGTCGCTTCATCCACTTTGAACAAATGCAATGAAAACACCCTAGGGAAGGCTGGTGGATGGGCACTTCACAAACCGAAATTGACTTCCAACATTCGTTGCCATGTGGGTGCCCAGACTTGCCTATTTCTGATTCGATCAGTGCAACATATATCTTCGCAGGGTCAAAACGACATTCAGAAATAATAAGGACAAAGCGATAGCCTCATCCTGGTGCCTTGGCTCAAGGGTTCTGCACAATGGCTTTGGACATCTGCAAAAGGATGGGATTCTCCACTGCCGACAATACCAGCGAAGGACAACAAGCGAACACCAGCTGCCAGGACAAACTTGTAAAAGGCACAGGGCCAGAGTGCGCTAAAACGGGACGCACCATAGCCTGGAAGCGGAGTTCACTGCAGCAATGTCAACTTGATACGATGCGTACACTATTTAAGGAAAGGAAAGAGAGATGATGAATGCACGATGGATACAACCAACTTGCCAATTTGAATAGCAAGAACTGCTGAATGCAACAATAAACACGAAGCTCTGTGTCGATTCATGGACAAATACTCCCTAACGCAATGATTTGACGAGCTCACAATCAGAGCAGCGGCCAAGCCCACCTGGATCAAATGGTTCTGGATGACGTCTCGGATGATGCCGAACTGATCGAAATATCCCCCCCGGCCTTGAGTTCCGAAATTCTCCTTGAATGTGATTTGCACATTCGAAATGTAGTCTCTGTGCCACCAGCTGTTGTAGAATGTGTTGGCGAACCGCATTACAGTCATGTTCTAAGGGAAGGCAGAATTTATCATCAGCATATTGTCTTTGTCGTTCAAAATCTGTCTTTGTTAGTTGATGATCACGGGCACAGCGCAGTTGAGTGTGAGGTGTCGTCGCAACAAGTTCCGCGTAAGACATGGCCCATCCAAATTTCGGGGCATTTCTCACTCCCAAGTGGGAAGACTGAAGGAAGAACCTCGAACAAACACTGCCTGTGGCTATTCATTCACCCGTTGTCCAACAGCAAATGGATGGAGTTATGCATAGTGGCAAGATCAGCCAAACAGACTGTAAATCAAGCTCTAGAGGGCCAGCACATACACAATTGACAGCAATCAAGATCCCTGAACAAAGGATCGTAGTATCAATGGAGCTCGCATGATTTTGCGACTCCAAATATCTCTTGTCTGCAAGCATCTTGATACCCGTTCGTATAAACCAGACACCTGTCATGTTGTGATCAGTGTGACAGCAGGTGATCGGCAGAGCCATTGATAAAAGTCTCGACGTTTTCCAATGTGCCTGCTGAAGCTCGGAGTCCCAGCAAGCAGACTGGAACACAGCATGACAATGAATCAGTCACCAACAGTTGCTGAGCACACTCCATACAACAGCAGTCAGCACCCCATCGGGCAGAGCTGCTGTCTTGGCAATGTTTTATGGACATGGACAACAGCAGCTCTGAAGCTGAGAGCGCAGTTGTCTGTTGTGTTGCTAACCACACCTGGGCGAGCTCTTTGCCCAGATAGTGGTCGATTCTGTAGAGTTGGTCCTCAGGGAACAGAGCACCCAGCGAGTCTGCCAGCTGCTCTGAGCTCTGCAAGTCTTTGCCAAACGGCTTCTCCACAATAATGCGGATCCAGTTCTTCGGATTGTCAGCTGCATTGTCCAGGTCAGTGCAGTTGTGCCGCAGTCCAGTGCAAACCTGCAGCACGGTGCCAAATACTCGATACTTGCCAACATGATGACAATATACCAACAGACTGTGTTCTTCAGGGGCTATTGTTGCCAAACCAGAATAGTGGGGGTGTACACAATGAAAAGTGATGTGCTTCTGTGCCCTGCAGGTGGATCTCCAATAGGTCCACTATCTTCAAAACCTTGCCCTCAGGGGTTCCAGCACTGTCTGCCTGAGCCACATAAAGAATGGGAACAGAACAAAGGCACTCATGCCTTCACGATGGCGTGACAAGCTGCACAATGCGATGTCCACAGTCATATTGTGTGCTGATGTACAGATGAACATTGCTCCGAGGCCAAGGTACGACTTGCTGCATCTGCAGTACCAGAGGCACAAGGACCTTGTTGCTAAGCCATTATGTAATACACAGAAAGGAATTCTCTGACACTAATCTGTGAGTTGCAATGTCATTGATAGTGATACATTCAAATGCTTTGAGCTGAAAGGGAACTGCAGCAACACATAACCACCAGGTGGTGTGGCTGCTGCACAGAAGCTCAGCCATGCTGCAATTGACTTGCCAAATTTGAAGTGCCAAAGGGATATAAGCCAATGCCCCCACTCATCTTCCACAGCCCCAGATGCACGAAATGTGCATGTTCTTGTAGGCGCCATATGCGTGAGCCCATTTGTACACCCATGCAAGTGTATGCCAAAGAATGAACCACAGACATCAAATTCCATTCCTTGCATGTATTTTGCACACTGGTAAAGTCAAAAAGCCAACGATTATTTCGATTCCGGCTTTGCAAGATGCTGCTGATGCAATGCAAAAAGCAGCAATGAGTAGCAAAGTTGGAAACTTTCCTGTGACACCAATCGGAACACACCTATCTCTTGGGAAGCCGCTGCTAGTGCATGTTAAAACCAGAATAATCATGGAAAACTGGCTGACATTGACAAAAGGGAGGCATTTGGCGCTCGCTTGCCTGGGGGTAGACAGATGGTGGCAAAGCCAAGTAGAAGAGGCGGCCCACGATCTGGCTGGGGCACATCATCTCTCCTTCCCGCTGCAGCAGTATTTCCTGCAGCTTCTCGTAGCCCTCGGAGCCATTATACTGGAGATGCCACAAAGGGAAAGGCCGCAAAGGCACTCTCAGGACAGCAGCCAAGCTCTGTGTGTGGCAAATTTTGCACAGATCCATTTTGCAGGAGAACAGTGTTCATAATCCTCTACTCTTAACTGTACAACGAACGTTCTCTGGTACTTACTGGGTGCTGAATCACAACCAGCACATGCCCGGGTGAACATGAGGGTTGCTGCAATTTGCAGTGCTACTGGCGCCCTGATCTTTCATATGGAAATACAATGGATAGTAATAACATGGACTGAAAGAGCAGGAAGCAGCAGGTACCTACCTTGTGGAATACTAGGGATTGAAAATAAAACCATAGATTGCATATCATGGATTATAATCTAATGTATGGACTACTGAGCAGCACTTGGGCTACTGTCTGTACAGTGTCCCTGGAATGTGCCATCAGGGTTGAAAAGTTCATTAAATCCCAATTGTATTTCACACGACACTTTGATCATCAATATCAGCATGGCATGTTTTCACATCGACAGACATGTGGACACATGTCCATATGTGCTCCGTTGTGGGATACAGGGTGTTTCTGCAAAGCATTGTGAGACCACAGTGGTCTGCTAGGAAGCAGATTCTATCTGACGATCCGAGCTCTGTGGAGACATGTAACATGACCAGTGTGTTGTATGTCCATGTTGGTCAATGGATACATCAATTGCAATAAAAGGCAAGTGCTGGCTCATGAACATTACTTCGCAATACAAGTTGCAGAGGAATGTGCCAGCTACAACGTACTGCACCGCACTTGCAATCTCCACATTGCTAACAGCTCGCCATGTGAAACAATGTGAAGTGATCTCAGCTTGCTTAACACAAAGCTCCAAGGGAGGAACGTCATGTTGGGGGGAGGAAGTGCAAAAGTCGCACACAATGCAGCTCCTGTTGTCTTTGTACTGAGAGGCAAAGCACAGCACACTGGACACTAGTTCACACAAGCATGGTGTGGAGCGCTGTTGCAATTTTGTGGCTGCAGCAGCTTGCACAAAGTTGCCCAACAGTCATGGATCCCATGTTTTGCAGCAGGTTGACATCAGCAGAATTTTCTATTTTACTAACGGCATCCTTGCTGCCACCACACTTGACAACAATACACCAATCAAGCAAGGATAGGAGCTTTGGCAAGATGAAGTGGGGCGATGCCAATATGCCCGATTCCCAGAAATTTGGATGCACATTCGTTGCAGAGCAAATGGGGTGCCTGCAAGTGGATATATCCTGATCCACATGTCTACGCAAGCCCCAAAGCCAAAGTTGACGTGCTGTGGAGCACAGTGTGTACCGAGCTCACAACTGGACAATTAATTGTCAGGCCCTGGAAAGAAAAGACCAGAAAGACTGAAACACCTTGGAGATCTTTTGGGCGTAACCCAGGAGGTAAAAGGGAGGCACAACGTCAAATTTTTTAACACTTGCTTTGGCACATATTGTTACCAGTATGGGTATCCTACCTCTCCTCGGACGTATGAGCAGGACGCCAAGAACTTGTCGATGCTATCCTCCTCACCCTTCAGGAACCCTTTCAGCCGCGATCTCAGGTCTTCGTCCGTCAGGGCTGAACGGGCGTAGCCCACAACCCTCAGGTTCGGGGGCAGGAACCTGGCATTGGCACATCAAGTGTGACCACAAACTGACACGCGAGGCCGGCGAAAGCCAATCTTGCCAGTCAGGGAGAAGCTTATTTCAAGCAATTGACGGAGGAATGGCTGGGCGCGGTCGACATGGGGGCGCCGTCGAACGGACTAAAACAACGTTACTGTTTTGGGATCCGATGCAGGTGCTGGGGGAGCATCGGTGGCCGCGACCAGGCACTGATCGAACTAGCACAGGTTTGAGGGACTTCTCAGAGGGTTAGACAGCCCCGCGGCGCGAGATCAGCACGCTTGGAGCGCACCGCACCGCGGGCGCGGAACGACCGAGGGTGCCCTCTCAGCCCGACGTCCGCCATCGCCGCGCAGAGCCAATCCGCCTCCCACCGCCCCGCGCCGGCCCGACCGCCAGCCTCGATCCACTGCCGGCATCCCTAGCAGCCGCGGGCGCGCGCACCAGTCTCCCAAATCCATTCGCCGGCGGCGATTCCCCCGGGGACGTCTCGCCGGCCTCGACGGGACGTCCTCCGAAACGCGCAGCCCGCGCGATGGGGCGCAGATCACGATGCGCCCCCGCCCCCCGCTTCCTTTGTCCCCGGCTCACCCCCTGTGGTACAGCGCGTAGAGCGCCGGGTAGGTCTTCTTCTTGGCCAGGTCGCCGCTGGCGCCCAGGACCACCACCGTGAGGCAGATCCCGGAGGGGTCGCAGAACGGCATCGTGTCCCGCGCGGACGCCATGGCGCCGTTGGCCGACACCACGCCCGCGAACAGGCCGCCGATGTCCAGCGTGCTGCTCTTGCAGCCCATGCACCGGGGCGGGGGTGGGGTTGCGGGTTGGGGGCGGGGTTCACGACCGGGGGGCGGTGCGTCGGTTGGTGCGTCCGCGGTGGAGAATGTGGTGTGCCCAGTGAGGCATGACGTTGGCTTCTGCGTGAGCATTTTCCACAGGATAGTGCGCGTAATGCTGTCGTAATGGCTCCGCTGATGGTGTTGGCGAAGGCAGGCAGGATCGAGGGGTGGCGATCTCTGAACGCGGATCGTACACTCGAGTCCACGGCAACGGTTTACAGCAGAGGCAAAGGGCCAACAGGGACTCTGTCTCTTATATTCAGTTCGTTCATCAACGTCCTTAATGCAATTCCTAGTGCCTCATCATCTCTACAGGCATTCAGTTGTTAAATAATACTCAATCAGTTCTCGCTACAACTGCATGAAGGGGGCGGGACTTTCCAGTGGGTACCAGCACGTTTTCTCTGTGCCTGTATTTCTATTATTTGGGGTTGCTTGAGTTGTCTATCGATCCAACGCAAGGGTGAGCATGTTCGTCGCAAAGAAGGAAAGAAAGGCGTCGGACTATTGGTGAACCCATCTTGAAAAATGTGGCGCAACTATGTTGAATGTGAAAAAAGATGGCGTGGATGTAAAAAGAAACAGGATTGCTATGCACAAGTTCATCCATTCAGTCGTCTTTGCGTTCCGTAATTGTTTGCGACAAGCAAGGGAGATAATGGAAAAGACATGACCCTGGGGGCTTGCAAAAGTAGACCCCCATATATGTGAAACTAAAAATCACTGCCAGTGTTGGAATGATCGACATTAGTGTCGATCAGACCCTCTGCATCACCCTATCCTTGCACATTACTATGCCTACAGATTCAACAGCTGTTCTCAATGCGTCTCAGATGCACAATGCCTCCCATTCACCTTCACACAAGGTATTGCAAAGTTGGGCAAAACAGATCATGATATGTTGATATTGTTGGTGATCCTCAAGGCTGTGCATTCAAAATCGCTTTGTGTGTTGTTGCAGTGTTGGCTTCAATTGGACAATGGGTTGCCGCTGATACACGGCGGCTCAAAGCCTTTCGAAGTCCATTGGATGTGTCTCTCGCTTGCATCCTGCAGTTGATGGGCTGTGTGATGGGTGGTTCAGGTTTTTATGAGGGATCTCTCTTTTCGTAATGTGCAAACCTCTTCACAGACCGGTTGCAATTTGTAGGTTCAAAGGTGCAAAGTTTGGTTCCGGCTTCCCTTGGTTTGGTGTGTAAGGAAACGTACTTTCTTGCTCTTCGTCAAACCAAGCACGACGTCGTGCACTGGATGCACCATGGTTGTCATGAATTGGAACCATGTGGGTCGACTCTATTTGGTGGAACGACACAGAATATTTCTACTTGTCTTGCAAGTCTGTAGGAGGGTTTTGACTCATTGTCTAATACGCATCTCGACCCCCACAAGGAAGTCCGGCCAGCATCTTGCAGGACTCGGCTTGCTGTGTAGACTCGAAATTCGACCTTCTAATTTTCAAACATGGGCCCTCCCATTACCTTTTGATCTGGATTTTGGCTGTCGTTCTTCAGACCCCGATCCATTGTGTTTCTGAACGCGGGTCGCTTACGCACAAAATGACTGGAGCATCCTTAGGACTTGGATGGCGCGCTCACTCCGAAATGATATCGGAGCTCCCACCCTGTGCTGCGTGCACTTGAGATGCAGGCGTGTTCTGAAACCGGGGATGGTGAGTAAACCCTAACAGAAACTTGACTGATTCATGATCAGCCGATTGGCTGATGATCAGCCGATTGCCTGATGATCTGCCGATTGGCTGATGATCAGCCGGTTGCCTGATGATCAGCCGACAAATCAAATTGAAATACTGGTTTGTTGAGTGCGAAACCGTGTGTCATGTTTCAAAATGTTTTCAAAACAGAACGCCAGCGCTGAGAGCACCTTCAAGTCCCAAACATTTTGTCTCAAAACGTCCCCAAGCGCTCGCCAAATTTCTGCCGGTGGCCGATGAGCGCTAACGTACCAGCCGCCTAGAAGCAGTCCAGCAGCTCGCCCGCTAGCCCAGCGCCTCCACTTTTGCGCAAAGCGCCTTGGAAAGGAAATTCTTCGTGCAGCCGGCGATCGCCCTTAGGGCCTCCTTGCGACCCACCAGCAGAGGACCGTGCTTCTGCACGAGCGTCAGGACCACTTTGGCGAACTTGACGTTGCCGCCCTGCTCCCGCGCGGCTTCTCCCAGCGCCCCCACCATCCCCTCCGCCAACTCCGGCCCCATCGACATCCCCGCGTCCAGCCCCGTCTGCACGAGCGCCAAGTGCCCGGCGCCCCACGCGCCTCTCCCAGCACCCCCGCACAGCGCCCTTGCCATGTGCGCCATGGCGTCCGTCCCAAACGCTGCCTTGATCGCCCCGTTGAGGGCCTCGATCACGCCGGAGGATGGCTCGGATGGCGCCGCGAGCACTCGCGACACGATCCCTTGCACGAATGCCCGCGGGTGGCCGGCGGCGCAGAGGCGCAGTGCGCTCCTCAGAGAGGCGGAGGCCGAGGCCCGCATGCCTCCAGCCTGGGCGTCAGGAGCTGCCCAAAGAGACCCAGGCAGGCCGTGTAGCTCGTGTGCGGGCCCAGGAACTCCCGGCACAGCGTGAGGACGGCCTCGTCGGGAAGGTCCGCCAGGCCCAGGGCCGCCAGGGCGCCGCCGCCTCGACCCGGGTCCAGCAGCACCGCCTCCAGGTCCGAGGGGAAGCCCTCTGGGAGCGACGGCGCAGATCCGCGGCTGGTCGCCGCCAGGGCGGCCGCGGCCTCTCGCAGCCTGGCCGCCGCCCCGCCCACCCCTTCGACATGGCCATCGCCGGACGCAGCGTCGTGCGACGAATGCAAACCATCCTGGAAGGCATTTGCCGGGCCCGCATCTGTGCGCGGATCCTGTTGGCCGGCCCCGCGACCCGCTGCCTCCCCTGGCGAGCCTTCCCCACGGACGGTACCCTCCTCCGCGGCTTGGGCTTTCCCCTGATCACAGTTTGCAATGGAGGGCTCGACCTGCGCCACATCCTCGCCCTGCATCGCCGCACCTGGTCCACCAAACTCGTCCAGCCTCCTCCGCTTGGAAGGGGGCGCGTCAGACTCCCCCCGCCCAACGGGAAGCAGGCCCAGCGCCGTGCAAGCCTTCCACAGCCACCGTGGAACATGACCCGGATCCCGGCAACCATCGCCTCCATGGACGCATTGCGGTCCCTCGCTCGTCTGTTCACAACCCGTTCCGCGCGCCATCGCCCCGAAGAGGCCCCTCACATCCGGGCTCCACGCCGGGCCGCCCACGGCCAAGTCGTTCAGGAAGCGCGCCGTGGCGAACGGGGGAATGAGGTGCCTTGCGCCCAGCAGGAAGCGGAGCAAGTTAGCCTGGATCGGCGCCGGGAGGGCCGCGAAGCGGCAGCGGGGGGCCGGGGGGCCCGCGTCGCCGGCTGAGCCGCCCAGCCACGGCAGGAAATGTTGCAGGAGGTCGCCGGCGCGGTGGCAGCTCAGGGCGCCCAGCAGGCGGCGCGCGAGGGCGGGATCCAGGGAGGGTGCGTCGTAGGGCACCTGCGCCAGGCAGAAACGAAATGTGTCGCCGCGGCCGTCCGGGGCGGCGGGCCGGCGCAGGCCGGGCGCGTCGGGCGGCGGCCGCAGACGGTGGAGGGGCTCCATCGGCGTCCCCTGCTGGGGACGAGACTCGCGCGAGTCTCGCCCAGTGAGTTGGGGGAGACGGCCAGGACCCACGCATTGGGTTTCTGGCGTGGCCCGCCCTTTTGGGCCATCGACCCCTGCAAAGTACTGGGGAGGGCTTTTCGGGGAGGCACTGACAGAAACCGGTTTCTCTCGGTGGCGTTTGGTCGCAGAGGGCGCACGGCAAGCAGCCCGTGGCCGCGACCTGCGCGCCTCCCACGCAAGTGGCCCGGGGAGGGGAGCATGGACGGCGACTCGCCCACGCATGCACTGCCCGCGGACCGCGAGCACTACACGCGCATCCTGTTCCTGCCCCCCGCGCTCACCAACCGCGGCGACGACCCCTCGGGCAGCAGCCCGCGGCGCAGCGCCTCCGGGCGGAGCCAGACGCCCGGCAGGACGCCGGCCAGCTTGCCGCCGCCTCCGCCCAGGAATAGCATCTTCGACGAGCCGACATCGTCCGCGGGTGAGAGGCGCGGCGAATGCGCGTCCGGCGAAACTCTCGTTTGAATCTTGTCTGTGCTGTTGTTGCGATCTTCGAGATGCGAACAAGGAACTCTCGGGTGGGCTGGGGACGGGGCGTGGAGGGGCTCATTGCCTCCGTTCTGCTGCTTTTCCTGGCCGCTTCTGTCCGGCACAACAATGCCATCGCGCCTTGCGGAGGGGGGCCAGCTGCGCATCAACATGGTCGATTGTTTTCGGGTGGTGTGTGATTCTGTCTGGTCGCTGTGATGCCCGGGGGGGGCTGGGGCGCATGCGCAACGGTGAAAATGAGCGGAGAAACTAGCATTGAGTGACGAGGGCTTGTTTTCCCGCAGGGGAGTGGTTGAATGCTGCTCCGAGGAGCCCGAGGGTAGCCGCTGCCTTCCCGGCTCCCAGCCCTTCCTGTGAGTGCCCTTTGCACACGCCATCCAAAGTGGAATCAATATGAACTGGGAAAACGCTCTCAATTCAAGTAATGTTCCGCACAATCCACCTTGGACAACAACAATTTCAAGTCATATTAGCTCATCAGTGTTTCAAAAGGAACAACACACTGTGTTGACAGTGCTGGCATTCAACGCCTTGACTACTGTCAGTACACAAGGATCTGCTGGATGGAAGTGGGCCCGCTGCTGGCAAATCAACGCGATTTGGGGCACGGCTGCCCTGGCTCATTCATTGCTCCAATCTGTTGCATGCAACGCACGCCAATGCGTTCAGGCCCTCCTGGACCACGACATTATCCCAGTCTTGTTGAAATTAGATAGCGGATGAACAGAGAGGAGAACTGTGTCACTGCACGATCCAGATGTCCAGAGTGAATCTTCAGAAATCACTAATAAAACAGAAACTCTCCTTTCATGTCGCATTTACTCATCGCTCTATACTGGGCATCTGCTGCAAGCCTGGCCATTGGTTGTTGGCTGCACTTATTTGAATGGTTGAATGCACACATGGAGTGTGTGTAACAAAGATATCTGCTATCTTCTGTAGATACAACTGACTACCCAAGAACGCCTGGCCCTGGTACAGCGGGCACCCAGCCTCAGGTGCACCAAAGCTCTCAGGTGGAAGATGAGTGGGTTACAGTTTTTGGCATCACCCAGAACGACAGGGACCTGATACTGAAGGAGTTTTACAGCTGTGGAGAAATTGAAACGTCTGGCACTTTCGGAGGTCCATCGACGTCCAATTGGGTCAATATCAAATACAAGGTGAGGTACTGTTGGTGGTTTTGATCAAACTATTCGAGGGTGAACGCCAGAAAGCATTACGCATCTGTCTTTTCCTCATATATCTCCAAATTAGTCTTTGAACTAAACACCCATCCCTGAAAAGGCCAACCACTGCAGGGTGAATGGTGCCAGTCATTACAGTGCCAGGGTCAGGGTGTCAGGGTGAATGGTGCCAAGTCATTACAGTGCAATAGTGTGTTAACACTCCCTTCACAGACTGTTGCATCGGCTTCTGCAATATCCAACGCGATCATGATTTGCTTTGCTCACAAAAGTTGCACCCATGGTGTGCCTTTCTTCACTTTTGTCGTCATGAGTTACACAGTGTTGATTGTTGTCGCCCTGCCTTCATTGGCTTTTCATCGGCTTCACAGTATGCAATACATTCTTCTCATCTGTGGCTCATGTGTGGGATGCCATGGTATGACATTTTCTCCTTGTTACCTTGAGTCCTTGCTCCTGCACTGATGCTGACTGCCATCCCCTCCGCTCCAAAATTTGGACAAGCAGTAATGGCAGTGTTGTGAGATCGTGCTCTTAATTTTCAGTGACCTCACATGTGGACTTGTTACAAATCACTGCCGTTGCACCCTGCGGGTTAACAGATTGACCAGCAGCTTCAACTAAGAGATCCCGTCGCCACCTGTCAAAGGGAGATTGGTACATACACGACAGTTTCACATGTGATATGAGCTTTCTACGTTTGGCTGTAAGGCAGCAATTTGATTGAGAATCTGCATGGTCTGTTCAAGGACACCCAAAGCAGCCACTGTCATAGTTGCCGATTGCGTTTTGTGTCGGTAACTTGATAACCTTGTCAATAGGGTGATACAGCTCTACTGGTTCCTTCTCATATTTCAAAAGCTCCCAGATTGAACATGGAGTTGAGGAGCTGCGCACTTGCACTGTCGAACCAGTGATGAGTTTTCTTCAATCCTCACCATTTGCTCCGGGCTGAAAGAGGAAAACAGCGTGTGGGCAAGTGTTGTCAGTGCGCATGAAACCAAGTCTGTGGCAGGATTTGAGTTTTCACACCTACCGCTACAGTGGCCCATGTGCATGTTGTGTATGCCACAGACCAAGGCAGGCGCACTGCGGGCGCTGAACCGCCATGGCGACCTCATCGACGGGCGTCTCATCGTCGGCGTCATGCCACTGTCCACAAAGGACCGTGCCGTCATCAATCGGGAGCTGAGTGACACCCGACAGGACGTGCCCACGCCATCAGACCTTGGGGATGTCTGGACTCCCCAGGCAGGGGTGGTGACCGGCCCCGCTGGGGGCACCCCCTACCCTTGGCACAGGCCCACCTTCCCTGTGGTGTACAGTGAGACGCCCTCAAGGGAGGTGCACAATGATAGGCCCCCCAGCCCCGTGGCGCGCACCCCCCTGAGCCGCCCTGGCAACATGCCCACCCCGGCCAAGGGGTGGCTCTCACCTCTGAAGGAGTTCATAATGGGGACGTAGGACCTGGAGCCTGGTGTCACGGGTGGGTGGGGATGGGGGGCATGTGTAGTAAGGTGGAACTCCTTTAGTGATGTCTGTTGGCGCAGGGGAAACAGTGCCCATGCCCCTTGCATGACTAACAGGCACTTGAAATCCAGCGCATTTGTGATCCCTGTCTGTTTGGAGCTGCCCAATTCAGCTGTTTGCACAACATACAGGCGATGGCTTCATAGCGAAGGAAAGGAAATGCAGGTGGAGGGGGCCTGCTGCAATGCAAGGGGCGCAATGATGTCTTTGATACACACGAAGGGGGTTGAGGCGCCATGCCAGTTGCGTTGTGTCTTTCCTGGTGGTCCACCATAGGAAGTGTGGCAGTGGAATGTTTTGCAAGCATCCGCCCTTTTCGATTGACACGATTCTTAGGACTGCCATCAGAACCAACCTTACATTGGACTGGGTTGGCTTTCTGAAGATGCCTCTTGCAGGCACTCCTCTGCTGCTGATGCCTGCTTTCATGATTTCAAGAATGTTTGCTGGGTGCACGGCCAAGAGCTGTTTCATTGTTAGAATCTACTGTTGGCAACGATGTGTTGTGCATGGATTGCCTGTCGAAACTGGCAGGATGTTGCCGTGTGCATGCTACCAGCAGTTCCCTGGAGCTTCTGCCAGTCCGTTTGTTGCAGGCCTGCACTGCTGGAGTAAGCGATGTTGTTTGATAACACATGCCGATCGCTCATTTCAGCAAATTTGCTGACAGGAATGTTTTGAAAGCAATGGTTGTCTGCTCCCTGGTTATCTGCTTGTTTGCTGCATGTGCACTATCCCAAATGGCCCACCTGTCTGTAGCACAGGGATGATGAAGATGAAATCTTGAAAAGCACAAGGAAATATTCCCATTTCACGTGTCAGAGGAGGTAATGGTAGCTGTGCCTGTGCAGCAGACTCACCACTTGAGAATCCAGGTGCTTCAGTCCTGCACGATTCGGAAAAACATTTCCTGCACAATAATCATGAATACCACTATCCACTGTTACACAAGCCAGACACTGTCCATCAGGCACATGGCATATGTACAACACAACTTCTTGCATGCATCAAGCCCAGCTGGATCTAGGATATATGGAATGAGTGCTTGACTGCACGTCCAGAGAGATTGTGAAAGTCGTGGCAGAGCTTTTTAAGCCCTGGAAAGTACAAGGCTCACTGACAGCTGAGACGTTGACCATGATGTGCACCAGAAAGCTTGCTGCAGGCATATTGTGAATAAGTGAACGCCAGCCAAGTAAACAGTTACATTTGCATGGGCACCACCGCAGTTATGCACGATGCTGCTGTCTTCAGCGGCACATGACGTCACGTCAGTATGCAGAAATGCACACGAAATATTCAAGAATATTGACTGCTCAAGACTCCCAGCTGTTTGCTCGACCTACAAGATGTCCCTTGCGGTGTAATCAGCCCTTCTGGGGTCCATTTGAGTTCATGCAGCACCCCTTCCCCTGTAAGGGATAAACATCACCGAGTACAGTTCGCGGCCCAGAGCTCTATCCTGTTGCCAATTGGACTTTGTCCCACAAGCCCGCAAGCTGTATAGGACGTGAATGGAATGGCAATTGGCTGCGAGGGCAGGTGAATGCCAACAAAACAAGCATTCCTATTATCGGCACAGGGCCGAACGTGCTCAACAAAGTGCCTGGGCATATGCCCCCTTTGCGACGGCAAAAGCCAAGTAGGAAGGTCTGAATGGTGACCCATTCCCCCGCTTTGGACCCCTTTCCCCTTTGTTCCAACGATTTTGACCCCTTCTGGGCAATCCTGCCCTCAGAGTTGGAACCCAAATGACCTAAATTCCTTGGCACTACCCTCTTTGCGCAAGTTTAGTTCCTCCCCTCGCATAAGTCCAGTCGTCGTGTTCCCCTGCTGGGTCGCCGCCAGCGGAACCGCAAGGGCCTGCGCGGAGCGCGCCACCGGCGTCTCCCGCCAAGGTCCCGCGCAGAGGGCGAGGTAGGCCCCCTCCCCCGTCCGGGCCCCAATCTACCCCGATCTCCGCGCCTGGGCGCCAACCGCCGAACCAAAAGATTCCACGACGGCGATGCACGGATCCGTTCTTGTCAGGCGCCGTGTCGTCGCTGTCGAGCGCTGCAAGGCGGCGGAAGGTGTCTCATGTTCCTTCAGCATTTTTTTTGCCGACCCGCGCGATATGCGGCGATGCAGGCAGGATGGGGCGCGTGATCCGCGCCCAGCGCAAGGGGCGCGGCGGCATCTTCAAGTCGCGGCGGACGCACAAGAAAGGGCCCGCCAAGTTCAGGGCGATCGACTCAGCGGAGAAGAACGGATACATACGGGGTGTGGTGACGGCTATCATCCACGACCCAGGAAGGGGGGCGCCGCTGGCGAAGGTGGGCGGCTGCTGCCGGCGGCGGGGGCTTGGGAGGGGCGCTGCTGCCGGCTGGGCCCTCAATTGCAGCGGCTGCGGATTGAATTGTTCTGGTTCGTTGAATGCAGCCTGCGCTGTGATTCGCAGGTCAGTTTCAGAGACCCAGTTCGAAAGGGGTTGAGAGGGGAGATGTTCATCGCGCCAGAGGGAATGTTCACTGGACAGGTGTGGCCGCGGCGTGAGCCCTCGCTTTTGGCGCCTTGAGGAGGGCCTGGAGTGGAAGAGTGAATGTGGAGGGTGTTCATTTGGTGCCGGCACCAATCTGGTCTCATCGTTGACACATGCCCTGCCATTGTCTTCAACAGAATGGAAATTGTGCCACACTAATGCCTCCCACCTCCAGACCAAGAATCCTGCGATTGTATTTCCAGTAATAGATCACGATGCAGCCATCTTCCAGGGCAGCAGGAGACTTTGTCGTCCATGGTCTTGAGTCAACTTCCCATGCTGGTTGTGAAGATGTTCTGTCAACAAATGGAAGCATCGCCTTACAAGTGCATATCCCGCTTGGGCAGAATTCTCGAATCGTTGTGATCAACGCCCTGTGCTGGCTGTGCTTCTCGCAGTACGTGTACTGCGGCAAGAGGGCCACATTGGCGATCGGCAATGTCAAGCCTGTTGGGGAGATGCCAGAGGGTAGCATCGTCTGCAACGTGGAGAAGGTGAGGGATCCAATCATGTGCAGCTGACTGCCACCAGGTGTTTATACTTGACTTGTGGCGCTGCTCTGCCTGGACTATTTGGAACGTTATTGTGCAGTTCAGCCGTGGCATACTGTGGTGCACAGTTGTCTCACAGTTGGTTGGTCACTGTGGGAACTTGCATGCATAGTTTCTGGGAGCAAGGTGCTGGACTGGTGAGCTTGCTGCTGGCAGCCTGGGCTCAAACCCGGGGGATCATTCACACTGCTGAATGCGTGTGTGTTGATGGCGAACTCGCTGGTTGTTGCAGAACATCGGTGACAGGGGTTCCATGGCGCGGTGCTCGGGGGATTATGTCACGGTTGTAGCTCACAACCCAGACTCAGGAATTACCAGGATCAAGCTGCCATCTGGCGCAAAGAAGGTATGAGCAGACGATGTTATATGCTACTGTTTCTATCATCCATGTAGCGAACAAGAGCCTGGTTTTGCAATGTGCCATTGTCGATGTGTAAACAAAGGAATGGGCAGATAGGCTCATGTTTTGCAGTTTTTTGCAGTAGCTTGCCTTGGCATGGGCCTGCCTTGGGAGGTCATTGGTACCAGATTCAACAAGTTGGCAAGAACCACCAGCAGTTTGCATGATAGTGATGTTCAGACATGCTGGGGATCCAATATTTGTTATGTGGTCATCCTTGCACAAATTTGCACTCGTCTGTAGGCGGCAGATTCTTGAGGACGGAATGATAGGAATGAAAAGTGCCCAACTGACACTTAGGTTAACTGCATGATGTCTATGCCTGCCTTACCAATTGTGCCGATTGATGGCTACTGGCCACATTGCTTGTGAGGACTGCTTCAAGGCAACTTCATTTTCCATTTCAGACTGGAGGTTGTCTTTTTGACAAAAAGTACACATGCTGTACAAAAGGCACCCTCCTGGGCAAGAAGTTGTGCAAACCTCTCTTCATGTCTTTGGCATTCAATGGGTTCACCCCACCACCTCCAGAAGGGGCTTGGAATACGCAGGTGGCAGACATGAAGACATAGTTGCATCTGTGCTGTTTCCGGTGACTGTATAGCACGATTCTTTTTATGTCGTAGGTGCACATGCATGGCCTGTTTCTTTGACAGAAGTTCATGCAGCTTTACTCTGTTGCTTCAAGGTTGCCTGCTGTTGATGCTGCCCTCCTGGATTTGCGAATGGATATGCTGATGGTTTCACCATGGTCGTTCCAGGTCATCTCCAGCAGATGCAGGGCCATGGTTGGCCAAGTTGCTGGAGGTGGACGCACTGAGAAGCCCCTCCTGAAGGCAGGCAACGCTTACTGGAAAAACAAGGCCAAGAAGAACCGCTGGCCGAAGGCAAGTGGGCGACTCACTGGGGCATTTGTGATCTGTGTGTAGCTGGAATATCGAATTCCAATGCTTGTGTTTGCTGCTGCTTGGCAAGGCACCGCCCTTACATTACATGACGATGACGATGATGGGCGCCGTCCCCATTCCGATGTGTCATTCAACAGCTCCATGGTTCGGTGCATTGTGGCTGCTCTCTCAACAGGCCCGTTGTTTGTTCTTGCAGGTCCGTGGTGTGGCCATGAACCCTGTGGAGCATCCTCACGGTGGTGGAAACCATCAGCACATTGGTCACCCATCGACTGTGAAGCGCAGCGCGCCTCCAGGGCAGAAGGTGGGTCTCATCGCCGCCAGGAGGACCGGCCGGCTGCGCGGTACTACTGTCGTCAAGGGGGAGAAGGAGTAAGGATAAGCACGAGAGGCGCTTTGGGTTGTGGACGTGTGTGTTGTTGCCTGCCTGTGCTTCGGACAGGGGAATTTGTGCTTTGTGTAACGATTGGAATCCAGCGTGTGGGAATGGGGGTATGACTGGCCCTACACCCAGACGAGGCCCCAATTCATCATATGCAGAGCCAGCGTGCGCGTGCTCTCTGTGCCAACGCTGCCTGCAAATGGCAGCCGGATTCATATGACAATTCACAACGCTGGCATCAAATTTCGGAGAGGACAGTCCCGAGGCGTCGCGTTGGTACCACACAGCTCCTTTTTAAGATTGAGTTCAGTGCTAATTTTGGCTAAAAGGCGCTGATGGTTCGTGGATTGCAGTGTGCAAAGTAGACACCCTGATACAGAGAAATCTCAAAAGCACATTGATGGCTGTTGCGACGTGTTGAGGTGGCCGTTGGCTGCACCAAGTTGCCACACATGCTGCAGTGTCAGTTTCAGAAAATGCTCGGGGTTCAATAAGTGTCCTGATCGCGATTCTTATTGAAGGAGCGGCCTGTTCCAAGCGGCAAGTGCAGGCAGTAAGCTGAAGGGCATCAGCTGCTGGAATAGGAAGCCTGGCCGCGGATTCCCCTGCCTTCCACATCGAGCTTGCCTTTAAAAGTGACTCGGGCTTTGGCTGGTTGTATCAGTTCCCGCTTGGGCTTTCCCAGATCCATATACAGGCTGTACTGCAGTTCATATTGGCACATGCCCCTCTTCACAGATGCGTTTCAAGTGCGTGGATATCATGGAAAGTCTTGGAGATACACCAGCGCGGGACGGAAACATGACATTTCCTGTTGTTAGTAGTCGACGTCAGCTCTCTAGCAACAACAGTAACGCCCATTACCGCGTTGCGGAAGACCACCGCAGACCACTCAGTGCAAGCACCAGTGGATATTGTATGGCAGCAGCGATAGATGACACAATCAATTGCTTGGGGCTTGCGTTGCCTTGCGCGTTGTTGCGATGTTCTGACCAGGACAGCTTTGGTGTGCGGTCAGAATGGCACGCCACCCTTATTGCTGGGGCCCAAATGGCTGTTCGATGTACCGCAAAATGACCAGCATCCTGCGCGTCGCCAACTGCATAAATACATATTACATGTTTCAGGGCAATCAACGTTGCATGACTCATTGCTCATCATCCTACTACCGGGATGGCCCGAGTATGTCACCCACCAATGCCGTCATATACAAAGGGGCTTCTTAATTGCTGCATTGGAACCAAATTCCCTGACGGACTTTTCATGCGCTTGCAGTCTAGATAGATATTCGTTTCGTATATTGTCCGGAACAGGGCACTTTTCGGAAAGCACCCGAATTGAGGTCTTCTTGGGAGTGTGTACCAAACATTATGGGTGCAATTCGGCAACCCAGGAAAGAAAGAAAAGTCCGCAATCTAGTGGCGGCGCTGAGCATCTCGCCCCTCACGATTGTCGCCTCCAGTATGTAGACACATGCCGATTGTCCTTTCATACGCAATTATGACAAGCGTTCTTGCCGGTGGGGCCATCACCTCAGGGCAGTATCAGAAAGCATTTTTCTCCGCGAATGGGAATGGCGAAATGGGATGCACACACAGCTGGGTGTTGAAGCCTCTGCTCTCCGTCAAAGTAATGTGCACAAAGGCTTTGGGACGTTCTGTGGCAAACGCTGTGGCCAACGCAGATGCACAACTGGACTTCAGGAGCAGTGCAGCGTTTGGTCAACAGAAGTGCCACAGGGCTTCACCAGTGTCGCCGCTTTGCCACAAACTTGCGCAACTGGGTTGCGCTGAAAGGGCTGTTCCTCAGAATCGGCATTTGATCATCCCTGTCGAGTTGGTTTTGTGGAGCGAAGCAGATTACAATGCCTACACAAGGGAATAGCTTCACAGACATCTGTCATTCCTCTGCGATCCAAGCCAGAGCGACAGGAATGCTGGCCGAGAAGCAGAGCTGGTGGATCGTCCCTTGTCCATGGTCGATCGCCTTCCACCGCCAATGCAGGAAAATTGAGCAGGGCAGTGCCTGTTCCACGACTCAAGGCCAACAACGCTGCGCACCGACTTGGGCAAAGTATCCAGGACGTCCTTGCAAGATCGTGTCCTCATGCTTCTTAACATGCCATGCCCACTGCTAAATGCAGGAGTCATCAGTGCCCGCGTGGGTTCGTGAACTCTATAGAGGCAGCAACGCATAAAGTCTCGTCACGTGAATGGGATGGCCACAGGCAGGTTACCACGCAACGAGTTCAATCCTGGTACATTGGCATTCAGTGCTGTACCGGTACTGGGCACTTCTGTCGCGCAGAACTTTTGCCCACAATGTATGTCTGCTTGGCAGGAAGCTACATTGCATTATTCCTGCCACAGCAGTTTTGCAAGCCAGCATGCCCCAATCAAAGTACTATCGTAGCCCAGGAGTTAGGGCAACCTTTCCTCGCAGGAGCTTTGACTGAAGCTCCACAATTCCCGCCATCTGTGCCTGAAATGGACTTTGGGAAGGATGGATTTCACAGGACAGATTTCATCACCACGGCCCATTCTCTGTGATGGGCATGAGCAAGATGTATGACTTGTGGAGACTTCAGACAGGAGAATTTACCAGCCAAGCAGCGGTTCTCAAGGCTAAATCTTGTTTTGCGCCCATTGATGACAGGATATCACATGATCTATGTACTAACAAAGATACTGATGCAATTTCCCTTCTCTCACTGCAGAGCATTGTCAATCTAACCTGGCTTCGGAGCCTTCCACAACATCACTTGCAGTGTGGCGCAGAGTATTACCACCTTGTTCAGAAGGGATTGCAGTATTGTGTGGCATATTTCCATTTCTTTCAAACATGAGTTTCCCATCTGCGTTGTGCAATAGCGATCAGGTGTACAACAAGAACTCGTTCTGACCTCTAGATCTTTCAGCACATCAACAACAGGCCGGAATTGTTCTTGTTGAGTGGACAAAAATTTTGAGGTCTGAAACTGCTTGAATACTGAATGAACACAATAATGCCACATCAACGCCCCGTTAGTGAGCTTACTTGACTTCTTGATCTGCTCATCTGCAGGGGCACAGGCACATGAACCATCAGGCTGCTGCTGTTGTTATTGAAACATGGAGTTCCAGTGCGAAACAGCATCGTTCCTAGCTGCCAGATCTCCAACTTTCCGACGACTGGAATCTCAACTCCCAAATGGCGCCAATTCAGCACATCCACTGTCCCACTGGCCCACTGTCAGGTTGGTGCCACAAGGAGGTGATTCAGCAGGCTTATCTGCAGGCAATACATCGCAGACCCAGCTTACCAGTGATTCCCAGCGACATCTTGAAAATGAGGCCAAAAGTCGTCCCGAAACCAACAAGGAAGGGCCACCTGGACAGAAGGAGAAATTGCCTTTCATTCCCACCCAGAAGTGCATCGATGAAGATTCCTGAACCACATCTGTTCATACCGAACGCCGCGACAGCATGTTTTGAATTGAAAAGAGTCCAGACAACGGACAGTGCTGGGGCAACACATCCCAAAACCAAGGCACCCATCCAGTCTCTTGAAGCAATCCAGCTATGTGCCAGGGCAAGCGCTAAGAGAAGATCAACGGGAGTAAAACGATCGGATCCTCTGACACGCTCCGCCACAGTGTGCGCAAAGTTTTCAAGGGCCAGGAACACAGGCCGGTCCTTGCTGGACACGGGGCATCCCATGTCGACATGCCCAGCAACTCCTGAACACCCAGGGGTGCACACACGGCGGTCCTCGGATCCCCACCGCACCCGGCCCCCAGCGCAGACCGCTTCGGGCGCCCACAACACCGCGAGTCGAATGCAGGCCTGTGAATTTGGCCGTTGTGGACCAACATTCCATCCTCGCGGCCCCCTCGCGCCAGCCAACAGTACGCCGCAGCGAAGGCCGCCACGACCCTTGACTGCCGCAGCCTGCTGCCGCTGTCCCCCGCACAGCCGCCCTCGTCGCGCTTAGAAGGGTGGCCAGCAAGGCGACGACCAAAGGCAAAGATGGGACCTGGGGGAGGCCGGGGGACTCGGGGCCTGGCCGTGAAACTCACATGTTCTTGGCCTCCCGCAGCGCTGTGGTCATGCCGGGCTCCACCGAGATCGCGTGGAGTGGGAACTTGGGAGCCATGCTGGCAAGGCGCCAGACGGAACGTACGCTCGCCCGGGGGGTGCCTCGCCTGCCAAACGGAGCGACCTCTGCTCTCCAGCCATTCCGCTCACGGAACTTTACCAATGCGGAAACCGCTTAATGAATGGTTAATGGGAATCAAAATGCAGCACGCGGGGCACCAGCAGGTTACCATTTTTTAATTTTCTGCGACCGTGACATCGTTCTTTTTTGGGACATGTCCTTTTTGCGACAGTGGCGATAATTGATGCGCGAGATGTTGGCATCAGATTCGCCAACCCAGCGCGAACCACGGGGCCTTCTCCCACAACGGAAAGGGTTGAAAGCTGTAACTCATGAACTTCATGTGCTGTGCTCCTTGGTTGGTCGCAGGTTTGACAGCACGATGAGCTTGGCCAATGCGAGTTCCGCCACACGTGGGCCGCACTTTGAAGACATGGCGGTGTAGTGAATCATGGATTGTTGGTGTCTTTTGCAATGTGCTTCAAAAGCTACAAAAGGCTCAAAACGAAGTGGTTGGCTTCTCGGAGCCACCTGCGCAGGGTTCTTCATACCAGCCAGCGCTTGTCCAGAACCCATATTTGGCACCACGCCCATACAACAGCAAAACAAAAAATGGGTTGGTTTTGTTGCCCTTCCCATAGAACTACGATTCGCGACCATCGCAGCTATTGCAGGTGCGCCAACATGCGCATACCTCCTTGGACCTTGCTGCAATATCGTGGCTTAGGACGTCCCACTGCCTTTTGCCTGCTTTGCATTGCCACAAGGTAGAATTGGCAGTTACTATATTGTTCCACTTCTGACGCCTTTCTTCACGGTGGGACGGTTGGGGAGCTGTCCCTTCACTCTGGTTGGCTATTTACAAATAAACACAGCCGATGTTCTTCCTTTCCTCTCCATTGTTCTTTTTCGAACTTCTACGAGGGAGCCGTTGGCCCGTGGTGGGCAATGATACGTGGAGGACATCATTGCGTGCATTTGCATGGGCCAGCGGCACAACCATTTCGATTGTCGACACACTTGCATCGAACAGCAACAACACCCACAATAAGAGAACCCCGCCACCGTTATTCCCTATGTGTCCAACCGCAACACAAGAAACCCGCCTCCCGAGAACACCCCCCAAGCCCCAAGACAGGCACCCCAAATCAATTTCAGTTTCCGAGGATGCTGTCGCCCTCCGGGTCACGGCACTCCCCGGCCGCGCACGCCCCTACGAGGTCGATCTGCCCCAGAGCGCCGTCGAACGTGACGGTGCACGCCTGCTGGCCCTCCCCGCACTGCTCGCACTCCGCCTGGCCCCCGCAGTCCAGCGCCATCGACCGCACGGTGCCGATCGTGTCGTTGATGTTCTTCTTGCACTCCCGGCCGTCGCAGGTGCACGCGACGGGCCCCGCGCACGCCACAGCCTCGCTGCCCACCTGAAACGTGCACCCACGCGCCTCGCAGGCCACGCGGTCCTCCTCCTCTCCATCAAAAAGGAAATCAACCACGCAGAATGGTGTGCCCTCCCCATCCTCGTCGTCGTCAGTGCCGGGAAGGATTCGGCCGAAAATGCTTCCGTTTTCGCCCGACCCCGACGTGTTGCACCGCAAGCCCAGCCTGGGCCCGAAGAACTCAGCCAGCACGTTCTCCCCCGACACGCCCTCGCAGGCGTACACCTTGCCCGCGGACGTCTCCCCGTAACCGAACCCCGTCACGCACTTCGCCCCCGGCGCGCCCAGACGCTCCGCGCAGGCGCCGTCCTCCGCGCAAATGTCGCACAGCGGCCCCCGCCACCCCTCCCTGCACGCGCACTGCGCCTCCACCACGACTCGATCGTCGCTGCCGCAGACGGGAATCTCCGACGGCGGGAAGGGGGAGCAGAACCCGCTCGGGACGTCGCAGGACGCCCCCTCCCACCCGCACTGGCACTGGCAGCCAAGCCGGCCGAATTGGTCTCTCATGCACCTCCCATTTGCCCCACAGCTCGGTGCGCAGCCCGTGGTGACCGATGCGGACACGGTCCCGGCCAGCGTCACGTTGAGGTCCCCTTCCACGCGCACCAGGTCCGTGTTGTTAAACCCGCCGAAGCCGCGCACGTCCAGTCGAATGTCCGTGCCGAAGGTGAAGTTCTTGGGCAGGAAGTCCAACGTCAGGGTTGACGCCTCCGCGGTCAGCAGTCCACTCACCTCCTGCGTGACGGTGTAATTCAGGGGCACGTCGTTCAGCACGCCGCTGGCCGACGCCGTCTCGTACACCAGCCCGCCGGCGACGTACGCCAGCACCACCTCCGCCACGAAGGCCCCCGGTGCCCCCCCGGCGTCCGCCCGGAACGCGCTGGCCGACCACGACAACCCAACGTCGGTGAAGTTGAACGTCGACAGCGTGAACCCCAGCCCAGTCAGCCGCGTAGAGACCAGGCCCGGGTACACAGCCAGGGGCGCGCCCTGGCGGCTGCGCACGGACAGCGTCCTCCAGAAAGCATCCAGGCCATCCGCCCCTTGCGGGCAGTCCTCGTCGCTCTCCAGGCGCAGGGCCCCGCTGACGCCCACCCTCTGCTCCTGCGCGAAGATCCCTTCCAGGGGCCCCAGGCTGCCCACCAGGCTCGCCGATGCCGCCCCGCCCAGCGTAAATCTCGAGGCACCGGGATCGACGCCCAGCTCCAGCGAGCAGTCGGCGGCACAGAGGGCCGCCAGCGCCAGCAGGGTGGTGGCGAATACCGCCGCGCGGGTCTCCATCGGGGATTGGGCGCGGTCGGCTGGATCGGGCCCCTGGCTGCCGCCTGCGCCGGGTGGGCGCCCAGGGGGTCGGCGGCAAGGGGGGCTGGCTGGGCGGGGACGCGTGCGGGGCTCGCCTGCTCTGGCTGCAGGGCGCGCAGCACGGCCAGCGGGCGAGGGTGGGCTGGTGATTGGGATGAAAGCGGGGCAGGTTCCTAACTCGAGGTGTGACCTTGCAACCTCGGGGAAAGGGGGGGGGGGGGGATCAATGGGGGCATTCGCAGTCTAGTGCAACCTCGGGGAAGGGGGCGGGGCGGCAATGGGGGCGTCCGCAGTCAAGTGCAATTCATGAGTGAAGGTGTTGATACGCTAGGGTCGGGGTGGGACAATGTCCAAGGCAGGCACGGGCACGGGCTTGGGGACACAGCTGAGGGTACAGAGTTACAGGTAGGTCCCGGACAGGCATGTTCCTTCTTAGTCATACACCCTCCTGTCAGTGATGGACCAGTCACTGCTATACCAGTGTGAATTCACGGCGATGACTTGCGCGTCAATGGCGGGGGAGGCCGCAACCAGGCGCCCAAGGCGACGACTTGTTCGATGAAAAACCGTGGGGGTGAACGGCCCCTCGAATTCGTTGAATCCATAGTTGGAGTGCAACAAACGTCTGCTTGCATTGTTGCTGGTTGTTTGAGAACTCGGCAGATGCGGACCAGCCAAGCTGCTGTTGTTCACATGAGCAAAGCATTGCACGTCAAAATACTAATCCCTAAAGACGATGGCGGTCCATCGCACGGAAGTGGATGCAAGTTGCATTCAGTACACAGGTTAAATGATTGATGGGATTGATTGGATCAGGTGGATGGGCTATGCGTGACACGTTTTCAGGTAAATCTGTAACGGGAATTCACTTCAGTGCTATCGTGTGCTTTGCCTTCTAGTACGCTTGTGTTTTTTTGTGCGTTATTTCACAGATCACGGGCTACTGCATGTATTGCATGCTTTGCCAATGTATCCTGGTACGGGCTTTATGTATATATTCAATCTTCTCCATATATACGATCCACACTAAAAGATTTGCGTGAAAATTTTCCATCCTTCACCTTTCTTACGCGATGTGCTAAACACGAAGGACCATTCAAGACGGACAGCCCATCTTGACTTGAAAATTCAGAGTGTCACTCACCACCAAAGGTATGTTGTGGGTTCTTTTACTGGCTCGGTGTACGTTTAACGTGTACCAATCCGCACCGTGCTGCAAACGTGTTGCTTCCTTGCCACACATTCCGTAGCTTTGCTGTGGTATGAGACCTCTTTGCTGGTTGTCGCAGATTTCTTCTACCTTGGACAGTTGCTGAAGCGTCCATGGCCCTAGCTTTGTAATGGAACTGCACGGCTATATTGTTTTACTTGTCTTGCGTACTATCAACCTAACACTTTTGGCTCCTGGTTTGTACAAATTTGGAATAGGTTGCTGGTTTTCGTATTCCATTGGGTCCACGAAACCAGTTTTGGCAACGCCGCTTTCCCTCAACTACGCAGTTTCAATATTAGGTGGTCGAAACAGGCGCCCCAGTGCCAAAGGTGTATCCGCGCTGCTTCCATCAATGCTGCTGCGGGATTAGCAACGGTGGTATCCGGTTCTCACTTCCGTTGTACTTGATGAAAGGGTTTTTTGGGTTATAAATTCTAACTTAGAATCCGTCTGTAATTGTAGCATCTCATTTGGGACAATGCTGGCAGAGATATGACAGCTGTGTGACACAATGCCTGAGGTCATTTCCAAAGGGCATGGTTGCTAACACCACAAGTAAATCAAATAAGATGTAACATTATGTCTTGAGCGCAGCGCGGTACATAGCGCTGCTCGCTGTACGTCGTTCAGCGGTGCGTAGTTTGCAACGCACTTCCGCTCCTGGTCCGCTCGCGAAACCCCGCCACTTGGTTGGACACGCCTGCCACGAGCGACACTGCTCACAGCCGTGACCCCCGGAGTGCGATCAACGCTGGTGGTCCCCACAAAGTGCGTATGCGTGTTACTGCGCGTCTCTAAATCAGTCCTGTGCCTTTGGAAGATCCCGCCATCGCGGCGGAGCACCTCATCTGAGGCCGCAAGGTGTGGCGCATCTATAGGGTCCACAATTTGGGCGGTTCCGCATGTGGATCCACCCTAATAGCCAAAAGAATGCAGGCCAAATGGTGTTCATGCAACGTTGGGAATTTCGCCAGCATTGAGGTGCTTTGCTCCAAGCCCCAGCCTCAATCCACTGGTCAACAAAACTGCCACCATGCTTCGGCAAGCTGCTCCAGGTCCAAATGCTGTGGTCTGTCCTTGACAGAAAGCTAGCGGCCCGCTACTGGATGTTCGGGCACAAATACAGATCTGGCCTGTACCATAACGGAATTCCTCAATTGTGCGTGCGGGTAAAATCCACCCAAACCCGCAAATTTGAAGGGGAAAATGATTGACATGCAAGAAGCAATTTTGGTTGGTATTATGAGCCCTAAGGCGCACAGTTTAACATGGCCGTTGCCCCCAAAATTGACAAAGCGCTTGGGTTCATCATGCACAGCAACACCGTAAAACCAGCAATTAAAATCTAATTGTCTCAGATCCATAGCGTTCCAGCCTGTCGGCCATCCGAGGATGCCATGAACTGTGGTTCACAACAAGTCGTGGGTGCGCCAGCCGCTAAGAGGCTCGTCCTCAAGGTCCTCCAACAGCTTTGGGAAATGGCGAGCCTCGCTGTTTGCAGCAAGCACAAAGGGGATTCTTTGTCCGATTTATATTAGTTGTCGTACATGTCACATATGACAGGATGAGACGCATGCAATCGATCAGAACGCCAAAACAGGGTGGGTCACATATTTTGGAAGTTGCTGCGTGCATCATGGCACGGAATGATTGTCCTTCATTTGAGACTGCGCAACACAGCGTACATACAGAAAGCGATATATTTGGGCCATGCGCTCACGAAATTGTGAAAATGCCTCACAATACAAGGACTAAAACTCGCGGTCCAATCCCATCTTACGCAACATGATAAGGTAACCATATGCCATTTTCATCAATTAAAATCGCTTTAGGTATGGATGCAGTTGTACGAAAGGGAAGCTGCTCTTGCAGCTGCCTTTGATGCGGGTGTGAACAAACTCGAAGATGTTGAAGATTTTTCATCGTCACGATCATTTCGATTCTGATTCATGCTGAGCCACTTTTTGCCTCTGCCCCGAGTTGCTGGCTTACAAGATACTTGTCCCTGCATGTAATCGACATGAAATAGTTGAGCTGGTAATTTGCAGATGGTAGGCTTATCTGTACTTCCTCTACCATGTAAGAGCTTTTCTTCAATGAAACCATTGTTGATCAATGGCTTCTTCACTGACACAAAACGATCCTGAACTTGAATTTCTCTGAAGAAATAAAAATCTGGCTGCCGCTTCCTTTCTTGGAACTACCTATCTGGCTGATTGATTGCACCATTGAAGCAACGAATTGGATGAACACAATGCATGGATACTGGAACTACCGAATAAACGGAATACCGAATCCATGAAATGACAAGCCCCTATCGACGCACAGCAAATGAAAACGGGATCCATTCCAGTTGTTCGATAATGGCGTGGTGATGTTTTGGCCACACCTGGCAGCAATAGCGCTCCCATTAATGCCCCTATTACCACGCAACATTGCCCAATCTCCATCCCAGCAACGCTGCAAGATCTTGCAATTGTTCGGCATAAGTTCATGTATCAACATAATGCCATATGTGTGGATTTCTGTTGACATGAAACATTGCCAAAAACTTCGTATTGTGTAACACTAATCGTATATAACGTAATTCAGAACCGCGGTCGGCAACATTCGTTCCAGGGCGCACCAGCGATGGCTTGTCCACGCAGACCCCATCCGCGCCAGCCCCCCTTCGTTGCACCCTCTTCGGGCACCGCCCTCGCTCCCAACTTCTGCCCCGCCTCGATCCCGCCCGGGACACGGCGCGCCGCGAGGTCGCCTGCGGCTGTCGACCCTGGGGCACGCCCTGCGCGGCACCGGCGCCTTCCTGTGGCTCCGGTCCGCGCCGGGGTTCGCCGCCGACACCCTCCGACATCTCGGAGTCGAAACTGTCGACGACGCCGGAGAAATCATGTTCCGGATGAAGCTCGCAGGTCGGGCGGTGTCCGGGCCTGCCGCTGAGGCGCTGCCAGTGGGCGCCGTCCGAGGGCGGGCGCGCCTCGGGGGCGGGCGCTCCGCGTCGCCGTCGGTCGCCCCATCGAACGCGTCGCCCATTCTGCAAGGAAACCAGTCCGGCATACATTCGATCCGTTAGCCGACCGTTCGCCATGGTGTTGTTGTAACCAGAGATCATTTGGCATTATTAATAGCCAGACGCATTGAGAGTTGATGAGGGAATGGGAGCTGAATTAAGGGCACTGATGAACGGGCCGGATATTAGAGACGGAAATCTTGCTGTCCCTTTGCTCCGCCGTAAGCCGTTGCCGTGTGCTCGAGCCCATTTCCCCCAGTCAGGGGTCGCTCCCCCTCGACCCTGCCTGTCAGTTCTTCAGTTCGATGCGTGGCGGACGCTGGCAGGCGAGGTGTGAAGCGAGGTTCTGCAGGGCCGTTCCAAACACCATGGGCGCGGGTCGCACGATCACCTCACAATGTGCCTAAGCCGCAGATTGTCATTTTGCGGTGCTGGTGCAATGGAAACAATACGGTCGAATTGCAGTTGCAATTGCATGTCGGATACGTGCGTATTAGTAACACAAAACAGTATTGTCAGTTAGTTGATGAGCGGTGGATTTCCAGGAGCTTTGTGCCATCTGGCATTGCGTGAAATGGGCAACTTTGCCTCAGTGGTTGTGGAGACGCTCTGCGGAGCAGTTGTGCAATTTGAAAAGGCCGCGTATCTCGCGATGTTGGGCGTTCGTTCAAATGCGATTTCTTCTTCCATATGTTTAATATTCTGTGTCAGGGGGATAGTCAAAAGAAAACTAGCTGAATTGCCGAGCCACGCAATGATCATTTCTGTTCAGCTGTATCGCACGGCACACCTTTTGGCTGATTCTGCTCGCCTGCCGCTCCTCATGTCGGTCTCTTCAAGCGAGCGAGATGAGGACACAGCCCCTCGGACCACCTTGACAACACACGTACTCGAACTGCACAGTCCGTAACTCAGAGTGCAATTTTACGCTCTCTCGAATCGAAAGGCCTCAAATTTTTGCATCCCCAAAGACAAGTCGACTCCCTCCTCACCACAGGTCGAAACACGGCGTCAAGCATGCATGATTCATTACAATACCAAGAGTGGCGCTCATGCGTCGCTGATCAGTGCCGCTTCAGCGTGCGCAGTGCAGACCAGATCAACGTGTGTTGATGCATCGCCTTGGCAGGCGAAGAGCTCGGGGCTTGCCGCCCATGCGATTTCGCGCCCGGAATTGTACAAACTCTCAGCGCACTGCCCGCGGAGCGGCGTTCTACAACGGCGCACCTTGGTGTCCCTCGCGCACTGCTGGGAATTCGCCGCTTCCAGGTTCAGCCTCTTCCGCCTCTGCCTGCTCCTGATGCGCTGAGAGAACAGGCTGCGTCTCATCAGGCTCACAAAGTAGGGCTGCAGCAGCCGACCGTCTCGGCAGCCCGTTCCCGCCCCCTTGGCGCTCCCGCTGCTGCCCAAACCGCCGACAGACGGGCGCCAATTCAAGAGGTCGAGTTTTTTCGGACGGCCGTCGCTGGCGCCCTGGCCACCGCCGACCTCCACCCCCAGACAGCTGCCGCGGGTATGCGGCCGCTGGCCGCGCCGGCTGGAGAGCTCTCCGGAGCGCCGCACGGAGGGGCGGCTCCATGGGCCGAACTCTGGTGCAGCGCGAATGGGCTGTCATTGACCTTGTTCACACAGTATGGCGTGGCCAGAATCACTAGGATAAAAAGGGCCAAATAACACTTTTGCGAACACACACAAACCACATTTTATCATAATTTTACACGCTAAGAACACAAAAATAGCACAAACCCGTAAACTTTATACACGTTTGAACACGTGTTATTTGGCCCTTTTTTTCCTAGTGAATCGTACGACAATTCAATATGTGCATCGCCAGTGTTTGTGTACAAAATGTGCGCATATGTGCTTGCAAAATGCATGTGCGATGGCTACGCGTACTTTTTGATCGAACGAAATGTCCGTGGTTATTGCACTGTGAAGGGAACACGCAATTTTGATCCACACAGCCAATTCACCTATATAGGTGAATTGCAACATCACGAGGGATGCAAGCGTTGAGCACAACAAAACGTGACACATTCATGCGGGCATTTCCTGCATTTGTGTCGTCCAGCTTCAAATGCACAATTCGTTTGCGAGCGATTCTTTGTGAGTGCTCAGGTGGTTCAACCTGAGAGCCCCAAAATAAAGAAGCTAACCTAAGATTGTGCACTCGCCGCAAAGGTTGTCATCAGAAATCGCGATCGCGCTGACACTCTTAGATATCGCTTTCCAATTCGGCTGTTTCCAAAAGCTATATTTTGCTTGATTCGATCACGATATCACTGCCTTTCGCCATCTGATGAGAACGTAGACAGTGTGCAAAAGTTGATGCAACGCACTTGGTGCAGCATTATCGAGGAAATCCCGGGTAAAACTGAATCAACACCCATGCATGATTTTGGGCGCGAACGCCTGTCGAAAGCAAGTTGGCAGGAGGAACGGGCCGCCAACGCTAGCGGTGCCTGAGAGAATTGCACATGGCCCCTGCTGCAGGCCTGTTCGCTCCGCATCGACGAGAATCCACCGCCAGTGCCACATCATGCATCTTCCGAGTTGCATATTCAGGGACCTGGGTATATCTAATGCAGCAATATGTACCGCTTCCTTGGTTTGATATACCGTATTCGTGGATTGACAAGCAGCCGTTCTGACTTTACTGATACATGGCTCATGAAACAGTTTTTTGAGACGGTATGCTATACCTAGTAGGTAGCTTGAGCTGAGCAACCTGCATGGGTAGCCGGGACTCCTTGACTCCCTTCTACGTATTCTGATCCATTCAGCGCGATTAGCAGGCAGATTGCGGAATAGGGCGCAGATTAGGATTGGCCGAATCCACAGAATGCGGATTAGGGTGCAGATTAGGATTGGCCGAAATTGACAATGCAAGGTACCTTGATGGCTCCTACCCCTCTCTGAAGTGCGGGCATCCGCCCCGCCGTCTTGCCTCAGGGGTGGCCTGGGCCGGGTATGGGTGGGCTTGTCGGTTGGACACTCAGAGCTGCTGCCGTCCGCCCACCCGACAGCCACCGAGCAGTGCACCGTTGATGATATGGACACCCGCGGTGTGGGACCCACACTGGCGCTGGAGCAGCGCGGAGGCGGCGTGGATGCGTGCGGGGCGGCTGGCTCGCCATCTGATGCTCCGCGAGCACTCCTGTGCATGCAAAATTGCTGCAGTACTGAAGCATTACATTTAAAAATTTGATAGTTTGCTGTATTTGAAGGTGTGCAAGTGATAAGAACTGAAAACATCGCAAAAAAGGTGTAACAAATAGATGAGTTAAAATACAAGAAGGAGGCCACTTCGATTGCTATTACTACTGCACAGTAACGGGAATTAAAGAAACCAAAATGTATATTAGTACAAGTACTTCCTAAGATAGCAATTCCATAAATCCAGCAGGAATAGGAAGTGATACTGTTGTCGTTTCGCCACGAATTTTTGGTGTCAATATCCGTTTTATTGTCAATGATGGGATCCGTTTTCTATCACAATTCTCAATGCTATTTTGTTATTAGTCTTAGTAATGGATAAAGGGAATATGAAAATTGTTGGAAACCACTTTGCTTCAACCTTCCACAACACAAATGAGGAACACATCACAATGAACGCAAGGCATCTTAATCAGATGATTTGACTTTCACATAAGGGTAGCCATTCACAATTGTTGTTTCAGCTTAGTCTCATCATTTTGCGATGCTCTATTTGCTACTTCAGTTCCATAAATTGCGCCCCAAATCTTTTGTATCCTTCTGCAAATATGGCTAATTTTCTGAAAGCACCAACATGCAATGCGTGAACTCCGGGCCAATTTCGTATATACAAGTTGCTCCAACGGCAGCATGAATTTTCGCAATTGACTGAAATTTACCTCCGCCTCTCTCCCCCTCTTAGATCCAAAGAGAGCGAAGGTAAATGCCGACGGAGGGAAGCACTCAGAGACCTGCTGCGCAGATTGACGTCCCGGGGACTTGACGTGCACGAGGCACAGCTTGCAGGCGTCTGAAATTCAAATACGCAAATATCCGCTCCGTTGCCTCTCTGCCTAATCAGCGTCACCAAAATCACGATTACTGGTACAAAACGCCCACTTCGAGCCATTTCTGCCAGTGCTTTGAATGCGAAACTATAAAAAACAATGCGCGGAGGAACTGCAAATGAAAATGGAAGTCAAAAATGCTGCAAGTTCCACCGGTTTTTATCTGATTTTGTTCTGGCCAAATCGATTAGGTATCGTTTAAGTTTGGAACACACAATCTGTAGGGATGGGGTTTTCTGAATTGAGTGATTTCTGCTGCGTTTCGGCGTGAGACTCGTCAGTGTATTCTAGAATCTCATTGCGCATTTGTGATGAAACTTAAATTCCTCGATTGTCGATCCCAAGGCTGCCAAAGTAGTTTTTCACAGAAGCTTTGCTATTATAATTGATTATGCATCTATTTGTCAATGAAATACCATTATCGCTGCACACGCAGATTGCGCACTGAATGCGCGCCACATTTAATTGTTGACAATATTATGCTGCGCCAAGTATGGCGAGGGCACGAATGTTGCAATTAGACTATCGGTTCTCCGACACTGCCATCAACGCAAAGACGTGCGATTTGTTCCGCTGATTCCTTTTGCGTTTGAGTTTTCTGAAACAGCTGGATTTCTGCGTAAATCTCTCCATGCGCAACAGTTCAGAGACCCGCCATTTTGAAGCAAGGTTGGAAAATACATATCGCAAAATGCATTAATTGCCTATCGTAAAATTGAAACATTCGCGATTGTGCGTTTGGGATCCCCGCCCCGAGGCGCCAAAGAAACCTGCCCGCGTTCCAGGAAAGAGCGCAGTGTGTTGCGTGGCCAAAACATGTCCTTTGTTTTTCCTTTTGAGACTTTGATTCCGAAGATAAGTGAAGGCCAAAGTTAACTAAAAAAAATCTTGCACCCACTGCGGTCTACTCTACATTCAAGGCGCAGGATCCTACTCGATCTCAGGCAAAGCTGCAACCAGCTCAGTACTTTGCATAACATGCGGGGCGCACATTTTCCAGTGCTTTGTTGTGCAAAACATTCTGTACCTGGGCTCTAGCAGATCCAGGCTTTGTCAGCGAGCCCCCGACGCGAACGACGTGCGGCGTTTTGGTATGCGGGATTTGCTTGGGAACGGACGGGGCAGGTCGGAGGCTCCCTGGGCAGGCCGCGCGCACCGAAGTACCAAATTTCATCTCCTACAATGCCATGCATACATGCAATAAGGAAAGCCATCGAAGCATTATGCGATGGCAGTCCACTTGATTACAGGCAACGTTGTTTGCCATTCAAGGGCCGATGCGCACTTATGATGGTGG